TCTCAGGTTCGTTTTCTCTGGTATATATGGGTACCTAATCCTACATAAACCTGCTGCTGGGCTGAATGGAGAAGTTAGTGGAGTTTTCAGTCATTATTTTCTTCTTTGGGGATCAGAATGGGGTAAAAGAGCAAAAGGAAGGCTTTCGGAGGACTCTGAATGGGAGTTGGAAGAGGTCAGTGGTGTTTGCAGAACTGAGAGAGGCTTTGGGGATCAGCTTGCTCTATGTGGGAAGGTTTCTTCCTCACCTCCTCACCACTCACTAATGTCACTGTCCCTTCATCGGGGGCTGGTCTGTCTGCATCCATCGGGAAGGCAGTGGTCGCCATTTCCACTAGCAGAGAAACATAAGCAGTATCCTCCCCTTAAAGGGCTCTTTTGCTGCCTTTGCCCTCTTCTGCCCCAGACCACTTCCATACCTGAAGCTGTTCCTGCCTAACAGCCAGTGATGTCTAAGATGCTACAGTCAATTCCTCAAAACAGAGAAAACTTGAGGGATATGTGTCATGGTTTAACCCCAGCTGGCAATTAAGCACCACGCAGCCGCTCGCTCACTCCTCCCCTCCCTGTGGGATGGGGAGGAGAATTGGAAAAAAAAAGTAAAACTCCCGGGTTGGAATAAGAACAGTTTAATAATTGAAATAAAATAATACAATAATAATAATTAATAATAATAGTAATGAAAAGGAAGGTAACAAAAAGAGAGAGAAATAAAACCCAAGAAAAACAAGTGATGCACAATGCAATTGCTCACCACTCACTCAGCAAGTTCCCAAGCAGTGATCAGCCCCTCCCAGCCAACTCCACCCAGTTTATTATTGAGCATGACATCCTATGGTATGGAATATCCCTTTGGCTAGTTCGGGTCAGCTGTCCTGGCTGTGTCTCCTCCCAGCTTCTTGTGCACCTGCTTGCTTGCAGAGCATGGGAAGCTGAAAAAAATCTTTGACTTAAGATAAGCATTACTTAGCAACAACTAAACCATCAATGTGTTATCAACTTTATTCTCATATTAAATCCAAAATACAGCACTGTACCAGCTGCTAGGAAGAAAATTAACTCTGTCCCAGCCAAAACCAGGAGAAAAGGTGATACCTCTACATGTTGATTATTGCAAATATTAGTGTTTATCTACCTATTCTAAAACATCAAAATCTCTAGATGTTGCTATTGCCAAAATGTAAGCCTTTAATGCATTGCCATTACAGTTTACAGAGTAGGTATTGGATTAGACAGACTGCTAATTTTGAAAATGGAAGTTAGCATTATTTGTGCTAGTTCATCAGTTGAATGGATGGGGAAAAGTGTTGGAAAAGGAACAGCTTAATCACAAGCTTAGCAGAAAGCTGGTAATGAGTTAAAATGATTAATGTTCTCTTTGCCTTAATGTTACATTAGCAGGAGATCTCAAAAAAGCTTCATCATTTTCTATTATCAACCTTCAACTCCTGGATGGGTGGAGGGCTTCCTTCTACCTGTATTACATTTGATTTTTTTCCTTGAGATTAAATCCCATTCTGAATTTGACTGCCGGAAGGAAGATTGTGTTGTCAGAGAATCAATGAATGATATACTTCTACTTCATTGTTCTTCTGAGGGTTTAATATGTCAGTGGGTGCAGACTGACACCTACATGCTGCTGATACTGAGCACAATAATTTCTTGTGGAGAGGAGTCTTATGCTTTTGAAGGAACAGCAGTATTTATAGCCAAGCCTTATTGCTGGCTGTAGCTAAAGGCAATGCACCACTTATACATACTGTGTCATGAGTATGGCTTTTTAATTTCCTTTAAGAATGGATTCAGTTTTTAAGTTTTATGTAAAATTCTGTCAGATCAGAACATAAGGATGACGGCATTTTCCCTATAGATTTTTCAGCAAACTGTCCTGCTTCTAAAGGCTATACAAAAGAATAATGTAAAATCTCAGTTGATGCATGATGAACACATGCTGTTTAAACACATCAAGCTTTTCTCATAACTGATTCTCTACTATTTAAGTTGCATTTAGTTTGTGCCCTTGGCTTGGTAAGTCTTGGTTCAGGAAAGCTTTCAGGTGTGTAATTGTAAGTACTTGCTTAACTGAGTCACAAAGCCAAGCCTAATATTTCTGAAGTTACATAATCTACAAGTGTTATTGTTTGTAAAGCTGCCCTCAAATACTGAATTTTGTACCCTGTTATCTCTTTTTACAGTAAGGTTGGTATACTATATTTCTCTTTCAGATCAACTCAATTAGTATTGATGTAAGAGTAACTGATATAATGTCATTGGATTTCATATTACATATCTTACATCTTTTTTCTTTTCTTTTTTCCTCATTTTCTTTTGATCTTATGTTATAGTTTTTGTTCCTTTTTTTGTTTTTTTCACTAGCATTCATTCTGTGGCCTTGATGACACAACTGAGCCAAGACGTGTGGTTGGTATTCTTTATATTTCTTTGTAGTCAGTTTTTAACTCTTATATTTTGCCATGTTTTGAGAATTGTCTTCATAAGACCCTGAAACTGTGGGGGAGGGTATACTGGTTTTGCTTGCACAGAGAGGAAGAGTCACCTATAAAATCCGACTTGGATGCCTTCAGTTACCTTCCTAGACTTCTGCAGAAAGTCGCTGGGTTTTCAACGAGAAATGAATTTGCATTCTAAGACACTGACTGCCCTAACTGCAGTAGGTGCTTTTCAATTCTGCAGAGCAGGTACATTTTGTCTAAAGTTTCAGCTATTGCTGCAGGATCCTATCTTCTGTCATGCCAGATGGAGAGGTGGCAAACACTGTTTGGTTTTCAGTTTTGTTTTCTACAAAGCCCTGTAAGCACCACCACCCATGCAAAAAAGGCGTTAATTTTACTTCCTCAGGATCCTTGAAGCCATGAAATACGTAGGAAATAATAACCTAATTTCCCTTTTCTGAAATGATGTGAAGGTTGCAATGTGACTGACCCTCCATGTGCTCATGCAACATGGAAAGGGCGAGGATGAGAAACCTCCATGTCTCTCCCTTGAGACACTACCATCATTCCCACTATCCTTTCCACAGTGTCCTGATCCATTCAGCTCAATGCAAAAGACAGAGTGAATTTCTTCAGCTATAGCAGGAGCTGTAGTGGCAGTGCTCACCTTTCACATAGAACAAGAGCGAAATACAATTTAGAAAATGAGTCTTAGCCCTCTTCCCTGGAGCAATGCAAGTTGCACCCTGCCTTTCAGGAAGGATGGTAACTCAACAACCTAATGGTTGGAGGATTAAGCTATGGTTTAAAACTATGGAATATTTACACAGCATTTTTGTTGTTGTTTTGTTTGTTTAGTTTTTTGTTTGTTTTTAACAGAAAATACACAATGTTTTTACCTTTACAATTTGCCCAAGTTTTTTCTTCTTTGGAATCTGTTGTGAATTATATTCATGGAATCTTCTTATAGTAGGAAATGCAGTTAATCAACTCCTTTGAAACTGCATGTGATGACAATATTTACCCAAAAAAGCTATTATATTTACCTTATATTAAGCTTGAAACAGTATTTTCTTCTGCCCAGTTCACAAGTACTTTTGAGAAATCAGACCTGTATTATCATGGGCTCTTTTGGGGGTTTATTCAGCTCCCAATACATTCAATTATCATCTTCCTGTTGATGCTCTTGGGAACTGGCTCTGGTCTTCCATTACTAGTGTTGCTGCATATGTTTTATATTTTGCAATAAAATGATGATAGATGCATATGGGTAGAATGTAATCCAAGGGTGCTGTTGATTTGTTACAAGTGCAGTAGCTTTCTTTTGGTTGCTAGATGGGTGTTGAAAACTAGTTGAAACTGAGCAATATTTTTACAGCATTTTGAACATTCCTTTTGAAATTTCCTTTATTTTGTCAAAAATTGAGCATACGCTTATAAAGATGTGTTTGAAGAAAGGAGGAGCCTTGTGGTACACTATTCACCTTACCACAGTTTGAGTTGAATTTTCTGTTCTGTGGAGATTGAAAATGACAGACACTGCTTTGGTTAATGTAAGTCTGAAAGAGCAATGTTAAAGGAAGTCACCAAGCTATAGTCTGGAGTTTCATCCAGTTTTTTGCTCTGGTCCTGCTTAGAGTTACTAACATCTGGATGAACATATTTGTTTTTAAATACTGTGAAGAGCATACTGGCCACATTTAGAGACACTTTATAAATATTCTATAAACTTAGTGAAACACCAGCATTTTTAAAATTCCATTTAAAATATTTTGAGATAATGTTGCTTCAAAAATTTTTATGAGTTCAAGGCTTAGGCCTGATCTATACGCTTCTGTGTTGACACAGCTGAAAGTATTATGGGTCCCCTTTGGAAAAAAAAAAAAAAAGAAGAAGAAAAAAAAGAAAAAAAAATTACCAGTATAATCTCCAGAAAATACATTGTGCTGATATAACCTGCTATTCTTCCTGTTAACAGCAACTATTTAAGTAGTTAAATTCAAGGTTGGTTGCAAGCATTTTGAGGGGATAACACAGGGATAATGGCTGTGTAGACACATCGCTACTCAACTCACATTTCTAGGAGTGCATGCCATATTGTGGTGCTAGTGTGGAGGGCAATTTCCTTTAATTCATCTTGCCAGAGGTGAATCTGTCTCTGATTAATGTAACACAGCAAAGCCTATTTTAAGAGACTTAACTGCAGTTGGACTCTTGAACATTGTTCATTATTTCAAGACAAACCAGGTGATTTACTGGTAGTAATTGTAGTTCTTGTTATTTTGAAGTTGAATATAAAACTTTTAGAAAGGGATTGTGGTGTCTGTGTATTTAGGGCTGGATGCAACACTTATTTCTAAATTAATGTTATCTCTCTAAAACTCAACAGGCTTTTTTCTTGTTTTTGTTTTGTTGTTTTTGTTTGTTGTTTTTTTTTTTTGTATACAGGCTATTAAAAGAACCTATGGAGTGAACAGCTGAGTCCACGTGCAAAAATACAGAAAATATTTATAGAGCAGCTTTAAATTGGTGCATTTTTTTTTCATAAAACAGTTTGCATAATACTTGAAGCTGCAAAATATTTGAATTTAAAATTAGAGATTTTTTTTAAGATATAGCTTCAAGCTGGAATGATTTGATAATCAAATAAGGACCAGCACATCATAAACACTGAAAAAAGTCTAAACAGAATTTACACTCTCACACCAATCAAACACTGGAAAAAATACAAGTGCAATTACTGGCTGCTATGTGAACTGTTATCTACCAAATGGTTTTCTTACAGTACTGAGATCTTTGTCTCCATACTGCATGCTTTCAACAAACGTGGTTTGCATTTCACCCAGGAAACACAGAATCTCCTTTTTAATATCTATATAAAAAAGCTAAGTGTTTGACAATAAGTTCTCTATAGTAAATAGCTGACAGGAAAAAAACTGTTCAAAGTTGGAAACAAATAGAGATTTACAACCCTGCAGTGGAAAAATTCATATTAAATTCATAAGTTGGAAATCCACAGATGGAGAAGAGATGGGTTTTGGAGGAAGGCAAGATGGTAGATTGAACTAAGAAAACTTTGAAGTGGGTAAAAACTGCATAGGAGAAAAGATTTTTTGAATGTTTGTTGAAAATTAAGGCAATAACTTGTAAAGATAGCACTAGAAGAATGGAAGATCCTGAGGTGGCCTGAGAGGTCAAAAAAAGAGAATGCATGATGCGCTGTGCTCAGTTATCTCTTCAAGAAGAAAGAGGGGCTTGAAGAAATGGGTGTGTAGACAAATGTGATAAGCAGAGAAATAGTTGGAAATAAATATTTGGAAATCGTGGCATCCTCCCAGGTGAAATAAAAAAATGTTGACATTAGCTACCAGGAAGCAAAAATGGCACAACCTCAAGCAGCAGAGGTAGATAAACAGTCAAGGACATTGAACACCTGAACTGAAAGAAAAATTTTGGGTGAAGCACAGAGTGAAAAAATGAAACTTGAAAAGAGTTGTTTAAGATGGAGAATGGTTAGAAAACTCAGAAAGTTTAGGCTTTTCTTTCAAAGAGGGAAAAGCAAATCATTGTGTCAGAGCTGGAAAGGCAATATGAAGAAATAGATAATTTTAATTATTTCTGGAATGTTGAGGCACGCTGAAAATATTAAGAGCACAATATTAAAAGATAACTTTCTCCTCTCTCACATTTTCTTGAAAATCATCTTTGTGTTAAAAGGGCTACATAGAAAGCTACAGAGAAACAAGTCTGCTTCCATGGACACACTGAACTCCAACATGAACATAGAGTGGAATAAGATGGTTACGACAATACATCACATAAAGTGGAAATCATGATTGAAAAAAATAAGATAAGGCAAAGAACAATCAAGGCAGCACAAAGAAAACTGAGGAAAAGATTTCTCATAGCAACTGAATATCTCACTGTTGAAGGTGCAGGAATCAGCCTCAAAAGAAGCCAGTCTTCTCAGATAATTTTTAGGCTCTGAAGTAAGACCAGAGATGTACTCTTCACAAAGAATCACCAAACAAGATCATTTACCTGCTGAAGGAGCTGAGGCACTCCACAAGATTGATTCAGTCCGATGCAGCAAACTGTGGCTTGTGTGAGGGACTGGATAACCCTGTTTCCTGGTACAAAGCACAATTCAAATTGGAAACAGGGATCATGCAGGACTTTGGAAACTTGATCCCCAAAAGAATGTATTGCTCACAATGCATTCTTCGAAAGGAGCAAGCATTTAGAGAATGTGTTTTCAAATAGAGATTTTTCATGGTTTAGTTAAAGCTTTTAGCAGTGTGATGACAGAATGTGGAAAAATGAGGTCTTCACTGCAAAAGGAAGAGTTTTGGCATTACTCTGAAGAGAAGGACCGCAACGGGAGATAAACAGAGCTTGAGATAACCAAACCAGGTGCTGATGAAGGAACAGAAATTGCAAAGTGATTCACTTGGCAAAGAAACACTCTTTCTTCTCGTAGACATAGTTTTGGTCATCACTGCTTTGGAAATGAAACTATAAGCACAAACATGGGATAGTCAGAGCATGTGGCTGCAACGGTAAGCGCACTGCAGGGACAGGAGATGGTCTTCTCACAAAGTAGAAAAGGTAGGAGCAGTTTTGTTTTCTTTTGTGTGTGTGTGTTTTATTACATTGTAATTCACACGTGGCAGTTGTGTCAAAGGAACTGGCTGATTTGGGTGACATTTTCCACGACATTCAGGATGTTTTTATTCTGCTCTGAGCTAGCAGGACTTGTAGTTTTGGAAAACTACATATATCATTCCAGTCTTACTATCCATTGGTATTTATTATAGAGCTGCGAACAGCTCTATAATGTGTGTTAACTGACTCGATTCAGTCCATGCAAGATGCTGGGCCTGATTTTCACGTTCTGTGACACAGCTTTTAAATCACGTGTCCCAGCTGTATAAACGAAGAAGGAAACAATAAGTTTTTCATTTCTGATATCAGTCATAACAGCTTTCCTGGTTTTATGCTGAAGTACTCAGTAGTTTTCAGGATGAAGCATCAGAAGTGTAGAGCTTAATGGATCATGAGGTTTGTGATCAGCTTTAGAAATTGTTGTATTAACTTTCATTATATCAGTGAATAAAAGTGCACTTACAAACAGGAACATGTACTAGAAATATGTGAGTAGAAATCAGTGTAATGATTTTAAGTGTCAGTTTATTTCCTGCCTGGTCCATCCTCACTGCTTTTATCTGTTGGCTACTTTCTGCAAAATATACCACTAAGAATTTTTGTTTTTACAGCTTATGAGTTGGATATTAGGCGGGGGCACAGCCTAATGAAAGTTACATTAATTTGGCTTCCACTGTAAATTGTTAATGAGCAGAGTTACAGTGTTCACTGTTATTATATATTCCTTTTGCATTAGTGTTGAGGGAAGCCCATTGTCAGGGAGCAGGATGTTTGTTCACTTTACAAATAATAAATACAGATAAAATATTAGTGTCTCAAGGAGCTCAAAATCAAAGATACTGTTCCATTTGGGAAATTATACAGGCCAGGGGAGAGCCATGATTTCGTCTACAGGTCTCAGGAATGCATGGTCTCTGAGAAGCAAGGCTTGCTAAGTCTAGAGAAGATCACAAAGTGGTTTGAACTGTGTTGTCCATGTGGATTTATACTTCGTTTGTCTTTCCACACTTGTAGCTTTTAAATATGGCTTCTCAAGGGACCGAGGAGTGGATGAATCTTTTCAGCTCTTTGTCCTTGTGTGGTTGACATAAGGCCAGTGAGTGATATAATTGGCCAAAAGAATAAAATTCTATGTAATTCATTATATGTGTGAATAGCACATATCAAAACATGGGACAATAAGAGAAGAACTATTTGTTTATCCTTTTTGCATTGATTTTGTGCTATTTTCTGCTCTTCAGTGGCAAAAATAAATGTTACTTTTTTTCTTCTTTTTCTTTGCTCTATAGATTCAGCACCTGTTTACAAAAAAAAGAAAAAAGAGAAAAGTAATTGCATTATTTTCTGGAGAATAGGCCCAAACTCAGTGGTTGAATTCCAATTACAGATCCAATTCCAAATCAATACAAATGTAGCAAAAGCAAAGGCATTTCACAGATGTGAGTTATAGGACTATACTTATGTCATGGTTTAAGCTCTGCCGGCAACAAAGCACCACGTGGCCACTTGCTCAATCCTCCTCCTCAGTGGGATGGGCAGGAGAAAATATAAGGAAAGGCTTGTGGGTTGAGATAAGGACAGGACACTCACCAGTTATGGTCACGGGCAAAAACCAGACTCAACTTGGGGAAAAAAAGCAAAATCAATTTAATTTGTAACCAATCCAATCAGAGCAGGATAACAAGAAATAAAACCAAATCTTAAAACACTTTCCCCCACCCCTCCCTTCTTCCTGGGCTCAACTTCACTCCCAATTTTCTCTACTGCTCCCTGCCAGCAGCACAGGGGGATGGGGAATGGGGGTTGGGGTCAGTTCATCACACGTTGTCTCTGCCGCTCCTTCCTCCTCAGGGGCAGGACTCCTCACTCTTCCCCTGCTCCAGCGTGGGGTCCCTCCCACGGGAGACAGTCCTCCATGAACTTCTCCAACATGGGTCCTTCCCACTGGCTGCAGTTCTTCACAAACTTCCCTGGCATGAGTCCTTTCTGTGGGCTGCAGTCCTTCAGGGACAGACTGCTCCAGCGCAGGCTTTCCCATGGAGTCTCGGCCATCTTCGGGGGTATCCATCCCCCTGCTCCAGCGTTGGGTCCTCCCCAGGCTGCAGGTGGGCATCTGCTCCTCCCCTCCCCTCCATGGGCTGGGGGGGACAACCTGCCATCTCACCACGGGCTGCAGGGGCAGCCCCTCCTCCCCCGCTCCTCCTCCCCCTCCTTCTTCACCGATCTCAGTATCTGCAGAAGGTTTTCTCTCACATTCCACTCCCCTCTCTGCTGCAGGTTTCTCCTTCTTGAATCTGTTATTCCAGAGGCACTACCACCGCCGCTGATGGGCTCGGCCTTGGCCAGCAGCGGGTCCGTCTTGGAGCCGGCTGGCATTGGCTCTGTCAGACATAGGGGAAGCTTCCGGCAGCTTCTCACAGAAGCCACCCCTGCAGCCCCCTCCCCTGCTACCAAAACCTTGCCACACAAACACAATACAACTTAATGAAGAGAGTTTCTGTAAATGAAGGTGAACTGCAGGCTGAAGGACTTTTACAGCTACTGCTAAAAGAGGCAAAGCTGCCTTCCCAAGCCCAAGTGTAAGAATTCATTTTAGGCATGGTTTCATAACCTCTCAGAGGTGAAGTAGACTTTTAAGTAAAATACTGAATGCAGAATTCCAAAATACCAGTTAAATATACTGAAATAGTCATAGATTGCCTTTTGAATGGGAAATATCTTTTTTAAAATCTTCTGTCTTGAAACAATAAAAACATCAGACGTTTATCCAAAATAAATACGATTTTTTTTGTGATAAACATACTCAATTTTATGAACTCCTCTATTTAGTAGAAAATCATCCTCTTTTCAAAACTTCGATGCCTAATTCCTTCATGAATTAGTCTAATTGAATCTTTTATGGGGATCTCATGTTGTGAACTGCAACTCCTTTCATACATGCTGAATTACTTTGGGGCTAATGAAATGAGACTCTCTCATAAATAATAAATTTGTTCAGAATCAAGAAGGACTGTTCATTTTGTCATTAGAGGCTTAGACTCTTATTGCGTGCTCAGACTGCAGTACATTGAGAACCTAATAATTTGGGTTTCTTTCATCATGGATCCTTCATCTGGAAGAGAACAAGAATTTTATTACTGTATTAAAATGCCCAGTAATGAAGGATTTGATATCCAGAATTTCAATGTTAAAATTGATACTTCATGGATTTTCCAGGAATTAGAAGATGCAAGCATACCTGATAAAAAAGTAAACAGTGCTGGAGAAGAGAATTTGAACCTCAGAATAAAAGAGCTGGAAAAGTCGGAGCAAAAACTGAAAGGTGTTCTAGAGGACTATGTGGAGTCAGATTCTGTCCTAAGAAATAGGTAAATAAAAGGGGGGTTTGCATTCAAAATTAATGTGATATGACAAATGTACTCTTCCCTTTGCCCCATGTACTGGCTGTCAAATGATACATGGAACACTAGCAAAAAGAAAAACTTTATGTGTTTTTAGGGTGCCTGATAAGATGCATGTATGTGTTTTGTGTAGCTGTCAGAATAGAAATGCAGTATTCAATTTTTTGTTTTTATTGTTTTAATCGGATTTACAGCATGATCTAAGATCTTGTTGCAAATAACCAGACAGCTTTCTCAGGATGTTTCATTCTTAAATACTTCTAAAGTGTAAATTCTGTTTGTAAAATATATCCCTTTCCTTTTAAGAGTTAATTTGGAATTTTGTGTTGCAAAAAAAGTCCATTGTTTCAGAAAGCTTCATCTAGTTTAGTATGTTAATGCTAATCATTACAGTAGCTAACTGTGCCATTAAGCATTAATTATGTAGTTGACTAGAATAATAAGATCAAGGTTTTAGTAGTCAGCAACTGCACTGTTCTAAACAAAGCCAAATAGTTTAAAGGATAGAAAATATAAATTGCATTCAAAATAATTATTTGTATGATTTCTTAATCGCTTTGATTCATCAAGGGATTTGGCCAGAAGTGTTTTAATAATGGGCTTTTTGTCAAAATAATAATGAATCTTTTTTGAAATGGAAGCTTTCATAGGAATAGGCCTATTTTAACAAAGATTTAGGGGAGGGGAAGATGGGAAGAACTTTCTTTAATACCAAAACAAAGAAAATATGAGAGAACAGTTCAAGGAGAGCAAATGATGAGCTGAAACTTGCCCAGGGTATAGGAAGCCCATTTTCAGGGATCTTGGGTGGCCAGTAGAAAGAAAAGAAATCCTGTGCCTGAAGTTCTTGTGGCTGAAGCACAGACAGGTGAGATAAGGAATGATGTGGAAGGCAGAACTGTTGGAAAAAAAAAAAGAGAAGCAGAGTCAGTAGTTGAAACTAGCCAGGGCAGAGTTTTGGGCTGATGTGGCCCCGTTTCCTTTGATACCAGTGTTAGATTATGCAGTGCTTGTGGTGGGGAGGACCTTATCAGGTTTACTTTGATACATGAATAGCTACTTATTTAATGATGTGTTTTCTATCTGAATCCTGTTGCTTCAGAAATATGTTTTTATGTGAGATTTTTGAATGAAGGTAGTGTTGTCATGCTGGGATGGAGGTAGCTGGAAATTTGGCAGGTAGGGGCAGTAAAACAAAGCTAGAAGAGAGAAATGAGCAGGGGAGCCGAGTGGAAGACTGTTCAAGGTTGAATGAAGAAATTCAAGGAAGAAGATATGGTACAGCACAGTCCTGAGGGGCATAGGGGGTAATGTGTGCATCTCTGAGATGAGAAGAGGAGGCTTTAGTACCTGCCACAGGAGATGAGAGGCTGGAAAAAAATTCTCAGTAACAAGAAAATGTTGGTTTAGAATTCACAACTGTTTAAAGCATTGAGAAAATTTTGATGTGTAGGCTGAAAACGGACAGAAAACCTTAAGGAAAACATGAAGCTTGCTCTCATAAAATTATCTTAGGTGTTCCTCCTGTGTAGAGGAATCCCATCACATCACACCACATCATGTTACACTACCATTTTAATAGCAACAGGTGAAGTGAACCTATATTTTATCAAAATCCAGCTTTGTGGACAAAGTCAATGCAGTTATGCACTATAGGTTTCAGTACCCGTTGTGAGGTATGTTACAATTAAGATGTTTTCCCTTTAGTCAGTAAAACACACAGTTACTTGTGGGTTACCTGTAATCGTAGTTTTGATGGGAAACATTTACTGTCATCATAAAATTTGAATTTGCTAACTGTGAACATAGCAAAATCCTATGATCAGATACATAGAGACCAAAGTGTTGTGGTTGTCTTTATGGTAAGTTGTTACGTCATATAGCATGCCAAGCTTCAGTGAACATTAATCTTGTGTCCTGGTTTCAGCTGGGATAGAGTTAACTGTCTTCCTAGTAGCTGGTACAGTGCTATGTTTTGAGTTCAGGATGTGAAGAATGTTGGTAACACTGATGTTGTCATTTGTTGCTCAGTAGTGTTTAGACTATAGTCAAGGATTTTTCAGCTTCTCATGCCCAGCCAGGGCACCTGACCCAAACTGCCCAACAGTGTATTCCATACCATGTGACATCCCATCTAGTTTAGGAACTGGGAAGTGGGGGGCAGGGATTCGCCGCTCGGGGACTGGCTGGGTGTCGGTCGGCGGGTGGTGAGCAATTGCCCTGCGCATCGTTTGTACATTTCAATCTTTTTATTACTACTGTTGTCATTTTATTAGTGTTATCATTATCATTATTAGTTTCTTCTTTTCTGTTCTATTAAATCGTTCTCATCTCAACCCAGGAGTTTTACTTCTTTTCCTGATTTTCTCCCCCATCCCACTGGATGGGGGGGGAGTGAGTGAGCGGCTGCGTGGTGCTTAGTTGCTGGCTGGGGGTGAAGCACGAAAACTTTTAAATGTGTTTGCTTATGGTTTTCATATTAAGCCAGCAGAGAGAGAATGAACATAGACGTTGTCTTTAACATTTTTGAGCGTCTCCAGTATAATGTGCAAACCCCAGTAGACTTGTTAAGAATTGAGTGTTTATTATTAGTGATCAACAATTTGTTACTATTTTATTGTTGGGAGAAAAATGGAAAAATAAAGATAAATTAATGGATTGCTGATGACTGCTTATCCATCTGGAACTGTACTGTGTGGTATTTACTTAGCAAAGATCTTCATTCTCACTATCACAGGATGAAAGAGCTGGAGCTGTCACACAAAACACTTCTTGTGACGATTGATCAACTAAACGTGAAGTTGCACCAGGTTGAAAATGCAAATGTGCGTGTTAAAGGGAAACTGCGAGACATTCAGGAGGACCTGATCAACTTGGTGAGGAGGATATTGTTTCAAATGACCTAGTTTAGCTTCTCTTTGTGGTAATAATTTATAAGTCAATCATCTCATATCCAGTGACCTCTCTGGTTTTAAGCAATAAATCATCTCAGCCTTTCTCTTTTTCTACAACAAGAGGAATCGGAAGAACTTTTTGGTCTTTTTTGCCCCACTTTCTATTTCTGTAATACTTTTGACAGTATTACCATTATTCCTCTCATTCAGGCCCTTGATCTCTGATATATGCTCCCACTTCCTTCTTTCTCCCCAGAACCCACTCAGTGTACTCCTTCTCCCTGGGTCAGACTTTATCTTTCCAGCCCCATAATGAAGCATTTTTTTGATTCCCTACCACATGTGATACAACAGCACAACACAGCTAACACAGCCTGTTTTCTGGATAAAATGCAGCTGCTCAGCCCGTCAGATGAGTCTTGAATTGCTCATGCATTTTCAAGCTGGGCCCCACCTGCTGTTGCATCCACTTTAAGCTTCCTGCTTAGCGTTGTGTCCTCTTCCAGCTTTCCCAGACTGGTTTGGGTCTTACCTTCTTTCCTGTGATGCATTGTCATGTGGGCCGCCACTCTGCAAACCCCCGCCGGTGAGAGCCTTCCTCCGCAGAGTGCCCTTTGCTGGAGCAAGCTGACCCGCTCCCTCATAGCCAAGAACATCCCACTGCTGATTGCATATGCCCTCGCAACTCCCTCTCCCCCGTGTCTGTTCTGAAATTGTCAGCTCTGCATGGAAAGCCTTCCATTCTCCCGAGTGCTAGTACTTCTTCACAGCAATATTTTGTATCAGGAAGGTCAGCTGTTGGCTGATAACATATACAACAGGCATTTTTACCTAGTTTGCACGGCTCGTTGGATGGATCCATGGCAATGGAGAAAAAATGAAAGTTTTTCAGGGACAGTCTACAGTGAAACAATGTCTTTTGATTCTGTTTATCATAAGATACACTTTCATTTTCTCAGCATTTTAGGTCAAAGTTGAATACTCTGACAGGACACTAGTACCATGCGGCAAGGCTCATAAGAATGAACAATAGTCTTCGCTTTTTTAATTAAAAGTGACATATATTTTTCAAGACTCAGGAAGCTTAGACAGACATATATTTCCATCAACAGTTAACCAAACAAAGTATTATCCCACACCTACCTGACTTTGCATAACATTTCAGGCTAGCGTTCCTCCTGTACTGTCCTTGCTGGTGAACCCCTCAGATGGGAAAGTACCGAAGAACAAAAAGACTGACCTAAAGAAGTCCTTGAAGAAATACAGTAATGTCTCGCTGCCTTCAGTCTTGCTTCAAAGTTGCCACAATGGCCCTGTGATACTGGTGGCTCTTACTCTGCTCAAAACAAGGGCAGCATGGGCAGCATGAAAGCCTCCTCTGTCTTTCAATGACATCTTTCACCTCTGTGTATCTCTGTGTTCAAACACACTTTGGTGCAAATGAAAATACCAAAGTCTTTCTCAAACTGATTCAAAAGGCATCTGTTCCTTTCTCCTTTTTCAGGGGGTTTGTACAAGGAGCTGACAGATGAGGGGTATGCTGAAGGCAAAGGGCAAAACCTTGGTCTCTGGAAAGTGCGTGTTCTGTTTTCTATAATAGAACCACAGCTTCTCTGCCTGTAACATGTCAGTGCTACACTACTGTCAGTGTTAAGGATCTGTTACTGTGTAGTTCAGAGCCAGCTGTATGAATTCCAGTTCAAAGATTTCTTTTGATTTAATATGTACTGTAGAACATGCAAAAGAAAGTGTTTAAAAACTTCCTGTATTTTATATAGTAGTAGATGATGTGGGTGAGTTTGTGTTTTGTTTGTTTGTTTCCGACTGAGATGTTTCAGTGATGGCTGAAATGACAAAACAGTAGGTCAGTTTTGCTCTAAATGCAAGATTTTACTGGCTTGAAAAAATTTCTACTTATGTCATTCCTTAGTTTTCAGAAAACAAGGGCAGAATTATTGCAAAATTAAGAAAAATGATAAGGGAAGAAGAGATTTGGTATTAAGATGTTAACCATACAACTCACTGAAATTACAGGTTAAAACCCAAGAAAAGTCAGAGAAGAAGCAAAAGGAAAAATTACATTGGCTTCAGGAGCAGCTAAAGACAAAAGAAGATGAAATAAAAAGCCAGTCAGAGTATTTTGAGCACTACAAACAAAGGCAGAGACAACAGACAGCAGTGCTGAGAGAAAGGGAATGTTACCTTCGGAGTGAGGTATCTAGGCTGGAAAAGCAAGTCCTCGATCTTAGTGCCCATATTGCTCTTTTGACATCCGAGTTAGAAGAGGGAATGGTGCAGTATTTCCAGCAGAAGCTGGAATCAGCATCCATTGAGACTCAAGGCTATAAACACTCTGATGTGGAAGTAATGGAATTGAAGACTTGCATTGAAAACATGGAGTGTGACATGAAAAGCCACCTCAAGGCCTTTCAGCAAAATCTGAAGTTCTTAAGAGAAGAAGAGGAGGACAACAGAAGAGAACAGGCAGACCTGCTGACTGAACTCCAGTGCTTTCAGGACACTGAAGACTTTCTCAGAAGAAAATTGGAAGAATCTTGCCATCATGTTTATAGTCTGAAATTATCTGAAATCAAACTACAGGAAAAAATGGAAGAGCTTTTGGATGAAAATAGGGCTTTAAAAGATCAAGGTAGGGTGACATTGAAAAATAAGAAAGAAAAGGACTCACAACTTACAAAATTGGAGAATGGAGATGACAGTGTTGACCTGGTAAGTAAAAATAAGGCAAAATATAATTAGCTTTTATCTTTATATCACCCTGGATTACACTTGTCATTAGGTGTGCAATCAAGATGCAATTGTGAGGCTTTTTCCTTCCTGCATTTTTTTCCTTTATTTCTGTTGATGCATTAGTACTTCACAGTGTCTGATTCACACTCACTGGCATCAGTAGTTGGAGCTTCATTGCATCAGTGCTTTTATTAGGTGCACATTGGGGGCACTTCACAAATCTTGTTTCCTTAAGTTTTTAAGTGACGTGCCTAAGGCAAAAGGTTTCACTCAGTTTGCACTAGAAGTAGAGCCTAGAAGACCTTCGGAGACCTCTGTCTTGTGGACACCATTCAGTGGAGAAATACACATATGGTTGGGTGAGTTTTCACATGTTATTCATGCCCAAATGCTGAAGAAAAAAGCACAGCTGACAATAAATCTTGTCTATGGATTTTCTAGATAATGGTAAACAAGGGAAGATGGATACAGTATTCATGACTGGGAGTGAGTTGAGATATTCAATGGTTTGTAGCTCCGTAGCGTTGTGATATGCCCTGAATACACTGAATAGGACTTGTTTGCTTCAAGCACTTCACTCCAGCATTGCATGGGAAAGCTCTGCATATGCTGTAATATGGCATTCAGCTTCTGCCAATTCATTTTGCTGACAAAGAACAATTCTTTTCACAGAGGGGACTCAAACAAAGTTTTATTCTTTATGCACTAAGGTGGAGGGTAGAGGATTTGTTAAATACAGTGAAATCAGCTAAGCCTCACACTCGGCCACTCCATTCAAATGGTGACCTGATATCCCAAGAACTCTCCTGATTTTAACTGCAGTTAACCAAGAGGTAATGGGCATGAACAAAACCCCTTTAGTATAGGAGGACAATCAGAACTGGGAGAAGGTAGAGAGGATCTTTTGTCTGTAAAAGCTAGAAGAAATAAAGACAAAGTTTTTAACCTGGTAGTTGAACGCACCTTTGCAGACATGGTTATTTTGTACCACTAGTGGCTCTACACTCCCAAAGAAGTGAACTCCAAGGATGTTGTCTTTGTGTGAGAGAGAAAGAGTGGTAAGATCATCCTGCAGTAACCGGCAGCACGAGTGACTTTTGTGGAGAGCTCGGAAGCTGTGCCTCACAGCGTGTGTCTCCACAGCTGCCCTGAGGTGGCAGAAAGACCGACTGCTGTTGCTTATTTTTATACTTAACCCGAGCTGCTGCTACGGTTACTTTAACTAGTGAGTTCACTTTTTCTTGGGAATGAAGAATAAGGTTTGAAAATATTTTAAGATATTTCTAGAGGGACTTGCACTGTCTTGTAAAGAGGTACAACAACCAAGTGCACTATGAGGAGACCGCACAGCTAAAATCAGGAGGAGTGAGGGCTTTCAGAGCCAGGGAAGAAATACTGGAGAATTACTATTGGTTTGAGAAAATTGAGAAAAGGAGAAAGTAAATGTTGAGTTATTTGAAGGTGTGAAAGCAAGATATATCAACTAATTGCCAGAGACTAATCCAACAAGTTTTCAAGAAACAGGGCTAAATCTCTTTCATTCTATGCTGTACCCTAATAAAAGGTTATTTTTTCCTCTACACAAAGTTTTCTAACCATTTATTTTCTAAGTATTAATTTACAGCTGTGTTGTTGTAGCAGGGTACTGAGTGTCAGTTACCCAGTCTTTGGTATAAATGAACACACCATAATTTGCATTAAGCTGGTTTACTTTGGTCTGTTGCACAGTAGGTTGTGTTCCTTAAATGCTGTGTATAGCATCACCAGCATCAAATCTTGTGCCTTCTGCCTTTCTGGTTGTCTTTTCCTCCTCTTTTGGTACTGCTACTAATTCACTTAGATTTTTCTAGTAGAAAATGGCTTGAGATAGCAGGGAAAAAATTTCAATATCTATGATAAAAGGAGGAGGGAGACATCTGGTGTTGTACTGTAAAACTGAAGAGGGCTTTTCCCCCTTATCTTGTGTTTTACTAGCACCTGTTAAAATAGAATTTCCTAATCTCATTACCTTGATCTTGTAGTACTCAAGCCAAAATAGTTACAAGAAAATCCTACCTGAGCTCATCATACTCCATCAACAGCTATAAAAGTGAGAAATTGTGTGCAACACAAGAAAGATTTTCAGGCTGTTACTTTTCTGGAAAGCTGCTTGTATATAATTTTTCAGTGAAAGAGCAAATGGGATCATTTGCCTATTTCACAGCCAGGAAAAAAGTGGTTTGTGAAGACAGGCTTATCAGACTCCTGTGAAATACACATGATATGAGATTCATCAGTAAATATTGTGTCATTTAAATGCCAAGCACATCAGTTATTCTTGAAAACTAGCCTTAGTCGTTATTGCATCTTCATGCGATAATATTGGATCTAATCAGAGCTGTTTTGTTTTGGTATTGTAGAGGTGAACTGCATCTCACAGAGGGGTGTAGTCACATAATTCTTGTTGGAAATTTGAATTTCCAAACTTGGTATCAGGATCCTGTCTGCAATATTCCAATTGCAACCTATGCCTGAAAGAAAAATGCATGAAAAGCAGCTGGTTCCATGTGGCTGTGTCTTGATTTATCAGACAGTTTCTAGATGTGATTGTTAGGGGTCTTTTGAAGGTGTTGGTGAAGGAAAAGTATGAAACACGAAGCGATGCACCTTTCTACAGCTTTCAGGTGACAGCTGAGGTCTTGATTTCACAGTATGATGTTCCTGGCATCCAAGCATTGTATCTTTTACATCATTTTGTGTACTTTCTTTGAAAGAACCCACAAATCAATAAAGAAATGGTATCTGGGAAGAAATAAAGGTGAACTTGGAGGAAAGGAATGAGCATGTTTCAAGGAATTAACACTAACTTCAATATTACTGAGAAAATGAAGGAAGAAATCTTGGAAGTGTTGTGGTTTCCACTTAAGTCATGCCTCCCAGTCAAGATCTCAGAGCACTATAATGTGGCAGCTGACTTGGGTTGAAATCAATATTATTCTCACTGGTGATCCTGTAGAAAATCAAAGTGGCTTTTTCTGACTCACTATAGACTGAAGACTTTGAAGTCATTGCCTTTCCCATCTGTATGTAATTTTAAAGCTGCAGCTCAGCCCAAAGGGACCAAGTTTGTTTTCTGCTGGCATTAGATGCACTGCAGTGCAGGAAGACAAAAGTGACTGTGTTGGCTTGTTTTCTGCACTGTAGCTGTTTTGGCTAACACCTCCAATATGTGTTTTGTTGAGAAGATCAAACCTGAGTCTTCTGTTCACTAAAAATGAGAACAGTGCATGTGAAATATGACTTGCTGTGTATCAAGCAATGAGGGTATCTGCTTTGTACCAGAAATTGTCACAATTTCCGAATTCAATCAGGGAGTCAAGATAAATGTCAAGAACAGAATATGAAATTTACAATTAAATTATCAATAGAAAAGAAAATTGTATTTGGAACAATTATGCTACTTTGAGTTCTTCCAACCTAGGAACAGTTGTCTTTGTAGCTGGGCAATGAACTATTAGTCTCATTCCCTACTTGATTAGACTTTCTTTTCTCTTTGTTCATGAGCATACAATTTAGTCTCTGTTCTGACAGCATTTCTTCCTTAACTCATTGTAAAGTATGAAGGAAACATTAGGGGAAAATTTAAAACCATGACATTTACTGGAAAATGTTGTCATGAGAAAATTGTATGAAATAATAGCCATTATAATGAAATAATTGGTCTTTTGAATGTAAAATAGCAAAGGAAATTTATGTGCCTGTTTTTCATATCACAAACACTGTATATTTATAATCTGGGTTTTTTTTCTTTTCCTCCTCCTTTTCCCATTAAGAATGGAGATCTAACCCAGGAAGATGTTCAAAATCTGAAATGGGGAGCAGTCTTGGATTCACTCAGAAACAGAGCTACTGAAACTCCGGTTGTGCTGCTACATGCTAAAGAGTCTGGTATGAAAATAAACGAGAATTTTTGCTTTCATTTCTGTGCAATAAAAGTGAAGATGATTTCATTCATGTGGTGTGCATGACTTAGAAGGTATAAGACCTTCTAAAAACCTCCTAATCTAGAAAACGTATCTTGGGAAGGTGAAGCAACAACTATTTGCCAGTATGATACTAGCATTTAGATATGAGCTTTCTCAAGAAATCCTAGAACTTTCAAGAAGCTACAGAGATGAGGAATTAGGGGATACTTCCCATGTCCTGGCTGAAGTATAGCGTTTGGGAATGCTGTGCAGCAGTCAGATTCGTTTTTCAGACCAAACAATGTGAAAGCTCTGATCTTGGCAAATTGTATCAGGTAAATTCTTCCAACATAAATTAATGGAAATTTTGTAGCAAATTTCAGTGTTATGCAAATGCAGATCTGCACTGAATAATTTTAACCTGCAAGTTTAACCCATAAGTTTTAATCTACCCACTGTAATGGGATATATTTTCCATTTTTAAATGCTTTGAGAACTAGGGGGGAACCCCAAATATACCTTATTTTAGAGCTTAATATTTATGTTTTCTTGTGGAGTTTGTTTTCATTTAATGTCTCTGCTTCATTGGTGATGTATGTTTATGATAGAGAAGGTAGTTTTGAGCATACTCTCACTAAAATACTTGTCTGTTAAAAACACCTGGTCATATGTTTTGGGGGTTGTTTTTCATGTAACTGTCTGGGAGTGGCATTACAGTTGTACAGTGCTTTACCATAACAGAAACACCAGGATGTAGCTGTGACGGGCTAAAGCAGATGGAGGAGCAAGCAGAACTTCTACCAGTTTTGGAACACAGTTCCAGTGCCTTTGCAAAAGTTGCTGGTCTAGCTGAGATTGAGCAGGTGAGAAGAAAGGTTACCACTATTCTTGCTGTCTTTGTGCACAGTGGGTCTGTGAATTTTGAGATAAAATGAAGAGTTGGTGTATTTAAAGATGAATATAAAAGTAGCTTTAATTCATGATGTTATTCAAAATGAATATAGGTGTGCATTAAGAAAATGATTGACTTATTTGTACCTTATTTGTATCATTACTGTCAATGCAAATCTTTAAATAATTTGAAAACCCCTTATATGGAAATATTTTTTCTCATCTGTCTATAATCAAGTATTTTATGGATGAAGTGAAAAATAAATTATGATTAGCAACATAGAATGATATCTCTTAGCTTAGATTTTTCAGTTTGAAACATTTCTTTTTTGCTGTTACCAGGTTACCCTTGGAACAAAGACAGCAGGTACTCGAGAAGATAGTTTCACATTGTTCAGATGTACCCCAAGTTATTGTGCAGCAAGACTGCTTCCCCCTTGCTCTGAGAAGTTAACTAACAATGGGACAAGTAAGGGAACCAAAGATGAAGAAAACTTTTCTCTCTTGAAGGAACAAGCTATAAATCTACCAGCAAAGATGTTCCCTGTTTCTGTGGTTGAAGCTGTGATGAGGAAGAAGCTCCAACTTACCTTGTTAGAACCTGAAAGCTACCACATGTCAGCTGTCACCACTGTGAAAAAAGTGAGGGGTTTTGATTTCTGTGACACAAATATCAATCTTTGCTCTGATGCCCTCTGCCTTGTTGCAGAAGGAGGATTTTCTGACAAAGCTTCTGCACTTCTTCATGGAAAGATGCCTTGCACTGTGACTGAAATTTTCACATTATCTCCAGAAAAATACAACGTGGAAAAACATTGGGAAAACAAGCAAATTCTGCCAGAAAGCATAAATGAAAACAAATGTCTGGATAAAATTGTTGATGATGGAAAGTATCATCAAAAGATCTATAGAGGGAGAGCTAAAGGAGAAGAAATACAGAATGAGAAAGTCCAACCACAACAGGTGACCTGTGTTCCTGAGGAAAGTCCTAAAGTTTTATTTAAACCTGAATTGATCAGGCCTGGGAAGCAAGGAATGGAAGCCAAAGACAGCCTCGGTAGCCCACAGGATGTTCCAATTTTATCTGTTGATTTTAAAGACTTAAAGAAGCATTTTAAAGGGAGCCCTAAACTAATGGAGAAACAAGGAAACCTCTCAGAAATCTGCACCTCGGATGTGAATAGGGTATATAATGGAGAAGACATAATCAAAATGGAGGAGAAAGGAGAGCAACCTCAGAAACCAACTCACCAAACAAACCCTTCCAGCAACGCTGGCCTGAAAGAAAAGAAAGACCAGACCCTGAAACTGTGTGAACCAAATAAGAATTTCTCATGTCAAAAAATAGCTGCTGAAAACATGCAACATGCATACTCTCAGAAATTTTTTTGGTCAGAGGAAGAGAGGTGTCCGGTAAACATATTGTCTCCTATGCAGGAGAGGGCTGTGTGCTTAAACAAACTGTTCCTGCCAGGCAGCAATTTTTATGAGAGTTTCTGTCATCTGTCACCACTGGAAACTGGTAATGAATGTAATGTGAAGATACATGCACTGGAAAAAGTGGTGGCAGTGTGTTCTCAGAAGATATTTCTACTGATGCAAGAGAATGCGAATTACTCAAAAAAAGTCTGTATATTACAACAGGAGAATGAGAGATATGCTCAGATGATGTGTGCACTGGAAGAGGAGATGGATGCATATTTTCAGTACATTTTAGCGATAGATGAAGCTAACACTGTTTCATTCCAAAACTTACTTAATGAGAAAGAAGTTGCTGGTGGATGTTACAATAACTTATCAGAAGAAAACACCATGAGCCCAGGAACACTTTTTGTTGAAAACTTCTCTAAGAACCTCTCATGTGTTGAAAAGAAAAATTGGTATTCTGAAAAAGGCTCATTGACAATTGCATCAAATAAACTTCCCAGGAGTGTTTTATCCCTGGATGGAAGGAAAATGAAATATTTCCAGCTGCTTTCTGACCTGAAAGAAGAAAGAAGCAGATGCTTCAAAGAAATAGCTAAATTATTACAAGACAAGGAGAACTATGTAGCAAAATATAATGAATTAATACAAGAGAGAGAGGGAAATTTAGAAAGAATATCTCTTTTAGAAGGTGAAAAAGAAACTTTATTGGGATGTTTGGCACAGGTAAAGTGTGAACAAGACAAATACAGGACCTTGGTTTCAGAACTTCAAGAGTGCAAAACCAGCTGTTATCAAACTATTTCTGATTTACAGGAGGAACAATGTGCACTGGAAAAAGAAATAGACAGAATCAAGAAAGAAACTTCAGAACAGCTTGATGAATTTCAGAAAGCAAATGCAAACTTTATTTTAGAAAATAGCAAATTAAAAGAATTAATGTCTTCTTTGGGTTTCACCTATGAAGAGCTGACAAAAGATAAAAGTTTGGGAACAAAGGAAAAGATAGTAGTAAAACTAAAAGAAAAAAGTCAGCAACATGGTCTTAAGCCAAAGAAAGTTGAAACAGCATGTAGTGTAACTCAGACTGAAGAAGGAGTTCTGGTTATAGACCCCTCGAACTATTTCCCTGGAAAAGAGGTAAATAATAAGAATGAGGAATGTTATCAAGCACGATCTTCTACAGAAAGGGAGAGATAGAAATGTCATTTGGAGGACAAAGCTATAAGAACTTTGTAATATAGAAAATGTTGTAATCTCCCATGTGCTGGAGATCTGAGGTGCTAAAGTTAACTTTGAAATAGAAGGCAAAATACCAGAGAGTTTTCTTCTGAATGTTGTATTAGAGAATTTTGAAGTGATAGAGCAAGCTACAAAGTTAAAAATAAGAGTGCATTGTTCAGGCATTTTTTAAATTATTTATTTTATTGCAAGAGTAAAAGCTTCTGGTAGAGCAAATTAATTTCCACAAACTTCTGTTACGATGGTGAAGTATTCAGGGTTGTGAAACAATCATGTCTTATTGAAAAGTATGCACATGTTCACTTACTAACTTTTATTCTGATAGGGTCTATTTTTTTTACTGTTTTGATTTTCATGAAACATATGCCTAAAGACAGGATCTTTACTTGTAGTGTATTTCTTGCCCATGTTTTTCCTCTGTAATCATGAATCTTACACCACAGCGAATTTCTGTGGAGATTACTATGTTCTTGTAAAAGCAGAATTATTACTTCAGTTGAGAATAATCAACAGGGAAAGATTTATCTCTAATATCTTGATTTTATGCAAGTGTTTTTAGTGATTCAGAAGGAAACCATATATTGTTCTGTAAAAACCTGTGTGCCATTTTTTATGGGTGAGAGGAGTTATGTCTTTCTGTTGTGTATCCAGGGCAGCACGTCTGAAAGCTACAGTGTGATGAAAAAGCAAGTCGAAAAGGCAAAAGAGGAACAAAAAATACAGCAAAAGGAATTAGAAAAAACAAAAAAAGAGGTAACCTCCTACTCTGATGTAATTCTGAGGAGCAAATTTGTTTTCTTTCTTCTTTTCTTACATGGCTGTTCTTCTTTCTGCCAGGATTTAACACTTTTACAAAACAGGGAAGCCTCTGATCTGCAGAACCAAAATGTACCTCTGATCTTTCAGTTAAGTGGTGAATTACACAGTCATTTGTGGTTGGCCAGAACTTCAAGCGAAGCTGCATTCCTCCAGCACTCTTTGACAGAAGCTGAGTGCTTGACAAAGACACACAGAACAAACTATCTGCTGTGGCCATCTCTGGGCAGGCTGCTTCCCTCCCCCTCACTAGGAGTAAGGAGGAGCAGAAGGCAGTAGAAGCACTGAGGATTATGGCAAGCCTGAATTCAAAGTAGTTTTTGAGTGAGAGGCAAAGTGATTTTAAATCTGACACTGTCAGGGCGTCTCACTGTATCCAGCGAAGGCGCAAAGCATGCACGCTGCCCCTTTTCTCGACATCCGTGTAGTAAACACAAAGTCCAACATCACCTTCATGGAGGCTTGTTTGGATGGGTAGTTCCACGCTTGTGTAAAGTAAATCTGCAGTTTTAATACCAACAGAGGAAGCTTTCGGTGCTGTGCCTTTCGCAATGCATTAGCTTTCACATTCCTATTTTTTATTGAACAATCTCCACTCTATGCTTATCTAAGCAGAATATATTGCTTTTATGGCAAGTGTATATTTATGGGACTGTTTCATGCAGTAAAAGGCATTGCTCAGACTCCCTGTGGCAAAACCACTGGTAGTAACAAGTGTGGAGTATGTAAAAGAGCAGTAGGATTAGACATGGTGGTGTACAAAATGGTTGTCCTTTGACAGCTGCTTTATAAGACTTCGCAGATTTCAGGTGAGGCAACTGGAATGAAGGGGTGGATTTGGATGACTGATGGATGGTTAAGTAAGGACTTCTGACCTTGTAATTTGAACATGAAGAGATCGTTTGATTTTTATTTATTTTATTTAAATCTGCTTAACTCGAGTCCTTCTAATACTTTTGTGTGTTACAAGGAAATTGTGTGTTACAACACCTTTCTCAGTTTACTTAAAAGAATGTGAAGCCTTTGCTTTCAGAAGGGAGAAGAAATGATCTATCATATGGGGAAGGAGTTTGCTGTCAGGCAACAAGCTGATCTGCTGAGTGGTTTGTTTGTGTTTTGGTGGTGTTTTTTTTCAAAACTACAGTTAATGTGTGTAAGTGGAGAAAATGCATCCTAGAAAAATATAAAGGTGAACATATGGAGGGTTTTTTTTCCTCCTTTGCATTTTTCATTTCTGAAATTTCTCAGGAAGATTTTTTTCCTCCTAGCTGATAAAATCTTACTTTCCATTTGCTCTGAGGGCTTTCAAAGACATAATCTCTGAAATTCTGAGTACCTTCACCACTGCTTTTTTTAGCTTTATTTGGAATACTCAAGGTAACTTCAAATTTAGAAATCAATTTAAAAATTAATCTGTTTTTCTGCACAGGTTTAGTTAGATATGTTTCTGTAAGACTTACTGTAAGAGTCTTACTCATTTCTTATAAGAAGATGCTAGTGTATTGTGTAATTCCATTTATTTTAATCAATTTACAACAGTTTAAAACTTGTGATGTGGAGATCAGACTCAAGTCTGTGGTTGTAAGCTGGTATTGAAAAGTGATACCACTTCTAGACTAATTATACTCAGTAATGTTGCTTTTTTATTCTTCCTGTTAGGCTCAGAAGTGGTACAGAGAACTTGGCTTTGCTGAAACAAGATACGAAGAAATCAAAACTCGTTTGGCACAGGCTCTCTCAGAATTAGACCATCTTAAACAAGAAGTTGGGGACAAAATGCTTGGAAAGCAGTACTGCAAATTAATGGTAAGTATGTAAATGGAATGGAGAAAAGCATATTCCTTGGGAGGGAGTGTTTTGAATGCAGAGACACCCATTATTGTTATTGGCAATAGATTTAAAGCAAGTATAGAGCACCTAGAGCCACTGGAACTACAAACTTGGAAGTGAGCAGATATTATGCAAGGTAGACCATCTGTCTACAGGATAGTCCAAACTCCGGGCTCTGCATGGGCTTTACAGGCACCTCCATTTTTTACGACTCTTGTCCTGCTCTCTTTAGGCAGAGTCATTTTCTGAGGCATGGATTTTCAGGTGGCCTTAATGAAAGCTGTTGGAGGAGTCTCCAGTGTTTCCAGTATTTGGCCTTTCTGCCTTCTAGCCCCAATTACTAGATTTGGACAGGCAAAACAAAGCTGTGATGCCGGGCACTTTGTAGAGCAACTTCCACTGCCAGTGAGCGGGTGGTGTGGATTAATGGGGAGTCAAAGTCTGTAACTGATGCATGTGGCCCAAGTGTGTATCCCCAAAATCTGGGAAATTGTTCTATCACATGGGGGAGAGAAAGTCTCATTGGAATGTATCTATATCACAGGAATTCTGGTTTTGCTGAAAATGAAAGCTTTTTGAATTTTCAGGTGGTTCTGTATCTTGATAAAGTTTTTATGTTTTTCACTAAAATGAAGTGTTTTATGGAAAGATTTTTAATTATTGAATAATGGCCTGGAAGCAGCTTCCTTAAGGACTTTTCAGCTAGCCCTGAAATGCTTTCTGTGCTCGTTAACAGGAAAACTGCACAGAAGTAATATGCACCTTTTATCAGCTGGAACAGCAATTGTGTAGCAACCTACAATATTTGCAAATTCAGTTTGAACAGGTGTCCTGATTTCAGCTGGGATAGAGTTAATTTTCTTTCTAGTAGCTGGTATAGTGTTATGTTTCAGATTTCATATGACAATAATGTTGATAACACACTGATGTTATCAGTTGTTGCTAAGTAGTGTTTAGACTAAGTCAAGGATTTTTCAGCTTTTCATTCCCAGCCAGCGAGAAAGCTGGAGGGGCACAAGAAGTTGGGAGGGGACACAGCCAGGGCAACTGACCTAAACTGGCCAAAGGGGTATTCCATACCATGTGATGTCATGCCCAGTATATAAATGGGGGGGAGTTGGCCGGGGGGGGGGATCGCTGCTCGGGAACTAACTGGGCATTGGTCAGCAAGTGGTGAGCAACTACACTGTGCATCACTTCTTTTGTATATTCCAATCCTTTTATTAGTATTGTCATTTTATTATTGTTATTATTGTCATTATTAGTTTCTTCTTTTCTGTTCTATTAACCTGTTGTTATCTCAACCCACGAGTTTTACCTTTTTCCTTCCGATTCTCTCCCCCATCCCACTGGGTGGGGGGGGGTGTGAGTGATCAGCTGTGTGGTGCTTAGTTGCTGGCTGGGCTTAGATAGATATGGCTTTGGGAGAAAATAAAAACAAATTCTGGAAAATGTAAAGATTCTGGGTTCAGGGCTGAGGGTGTAGTTGGCCACCTGCAAGTCCTATGCAGTTATTTCATATTAGCTTGTACACCCTACATGGCACTATGCACTGATGTTTCGACAATAGAATTCTGTTAGTTGAAAATGAAGCACAGATTTTTCATACCATTATGATGTATTGGCATGTAACATTTTAAAACAATGAAATCTATTTCAAGTAAGAAGAAACTCCCAAATTGTTTGAGAATACACAGAAGTATATCATGGTGTTTTATTTAAGCTAACGCTTAAGCTTTTGGGGGCTTTTTTCGGCAATGGAGCTTTAACCCTTTTGTTTGGGGACAGTCTGGGGCAATTATTGCTTATTTTATTGGTCACTGAATTGAGATGTTAATTATTTCTATGACTCACATAGGAATAAAATTCATCAACCTTGATAGAATGTTTTTACACTGGAAAACGTGCATGTCAGCCTTTCTTCTGGAAAAAAAAAACAAAAAACCCACCAACCAAAAAACCTCCCGCTTTTAAATCCCTCCAATAACTAAACTTTTCATTTTAGTCTTTATTAATCAGTAGTATATATTTATGCAATATTGTGATGTTGTTTGATTTGGATCTGACTTCTTCATCCAATTTAATTATTTGTCGTAGGGTTAATGTCAAATTGTTGAATATACGTGTCTCATTCCAGGATCAAAGATGCAGTACATGTACATCACAGAACTGGGTTTATCCTTTAGTTACACTGTTTGATGGCACAACTAATTATCTGCATGACTCAAGTCCATTATGTCTGAACCAAAGGATATTGATTTTATTGGCACAATTAAGCAAATAGTACAGATAGAAAATAGAGTAGATATATTTTAACAAAGGTTGTGACTTTATTTCAAAAATTGCTTTTTAAAATAAACTTTTTAATGTACACCAAGCTGCCAATAGTGGGTTTTTGTGAAATTGTTAAAATATGACCTAAATTTTTCTAGATTAAATAAAAAAAAAAAAAAAAGACTGTTTGGCACAAGGATTATCATGATCTACCTTTCTAGCATAATTTTATTTCCTGAGGGCTATTTTGTAGACCGGTGATCCTGTTCTTATTTTCAGTTAGTTGCCACCCTTGTCCAAAAGTGCTTTTCATCCCACAAAGTTATTAATAAACTCTGATACAGTAAATCACAATAATTTATGCTTTTTCCTGTTCTAAACTTAATTTTCTGGAAGACCTCTGTTTGTGATACTTGAAAGAAGTGCAGATGTGAGCAGTCTGGACCTAGAATCCAAGGGTGGGAGATCTTTGAGATATGACGTGTTTTGAGCATGTCTTTTGGGACTTTGTACATATCTTATGTTCTACAGCCCCCAATGACCAGGGATCCTAGTTCTCAGCTGAGACTTCAAAAGGCTGTCATGATATTCTTCATTGCAAGTAAAAGAGAGCAAAGATAATATACTCCAAGATTACTGCTAGGACTCTTTGTTTCAGTGGTGTTGCTAACAGAGGAAATACCATTTGTGTAAGAGTACTTGGGGAAATTTTCTAGGATGTTGAGGTGGCCTTCTGAACTGTGGTGCTGTGGTAGAAGTTAGGAGAAATATGTGTGTGAGCAGGAAGGGAGCATGGTACTATTTGCAGCTTTGAAAATGAATACATGAATTTTGCATGAAGTGCACACAGTAAATAAAGTGCCAGGCTTCCCTGGTGAACCCCCGACTCCTGTCATGGCCTGTAGCCAAAAAAGTCATAATCCTTCTCATTTTCTCACTGAGTTTTCAGATAAGCACAGCGCAGATGAGAAAAGAAAGATTTTATTTTTATTTTCAATGTTTAGGCACCAACTTCAAAGACGAGAGATCTTGCCAGGCTTTACAAAAATGCAGTGTGTTAAATGCTACATTTTGGGCTTAGTTATCCTTTGGCTGTTTCCCAGTTCCAGCTGCTGGGTCCTACACCCTTCTGGAGCTTGACCACATAATCCATGGTTACTGTTAATTGGGACATCTGATAGACTGATCATAAACAATCCTTGTATGCCTCATTTGTGCTTTGAAACTACAGAAAACTGCTAGCAGGTCAGCAAAATGCAAAGGAAAGAGGGTACTTCTCTCTGTCTTTTACCTTCAAGCAATTTTTTTAGTTCCCCACCTCTTTTTCCGTTAAGCATCTTTAGTTAGGGAGTGTTACCATTTTTTTATTTAACATACTTTTTTTGTGGGAAAGAAGAAGATGAGGAAAATACCATGTCTCACACTCATCCTCAGGCTTTTGTCACTGCAACCCTGGTCTAATCAATCTTGATGTGTCCAACATTTGCTATTGTTCTTTTTTCTTAACGCAAGAGGGAGCCAAAAAGTTTGGTACAAAGCATGCACGACTTGAATGCTGTGCATAGAGGACTTGCTTCATTAGGAAGAACAGTATGAAAATGTCATATTTCTGTTTTTATCTGTGCTGCAATGATGTGTTGAAGGCAGAGTGATGTGATCTGTCACTTCAGTTTGCTGTTTGCCATGAAACTGTGCCTTCAGCATGTTGTAGTCACCAAGGGTGTCAAAGTTGGAAAGGCTGGCAGATAGCAAAGGATAATTTAACTGTGTTGTTGTGCATCATGGCTGAATATTAGCTCTTCTCTTGGTTGTATCACTGTTAGTAACCATTAAAATCAAACCACCCTCCTGCATATTTTGTCAGAAGGTTATATGGTTTTACCACAGTATAACATAGGTCTGACAAGGATTTTTAGCTTAATCACTAAAATGCTTATTATTTTAGACTTGCTTAGGTAACATGTTATCAGAAATCTCGAGCAGCTGTGTGTATCAACTGAATATTTTTCTAATATAAGTTCACAATAGCATAAATGTTTTTCACGTCTTTCTTCACCCTCAGATTTTCCTCAGTCTTAATCTATATGTGTAATCTAACAGTGTCATTTCTAGCATCTGACCTTATGATGCTGACCATCAATCTAAAGCTCTCACTAATCCTTTCAATCTAAGTGCATGAAATTGAAAAAAAAACAAATCAGAGAGGGGGGGAGGAGGAGTTAAATTCAGAAGCTGCTCCTTCCACTTGTTCTGTACCATGACTACCACATTTTAATGTAATAAATATTTTCTTTTAAAATATTGTTTTAAATTTATACTTAAAATCTGATTAGTTTTATTAATAATCTTCCAAAACAAAAGTATAACTGGGAGAGTTGAATTTCCTCTCTGAGATAAACATATATAGAAAAACAAGGGGCGTATTATATAGCAGTTGGAGCAGGAGACTGGGGACTTTTGAGTTCTGTTCTTACTCACTGTGTGGCCACAGGTCGGCCACTTAATCTGACTGTGACCCAGTTTCCCCAGATATGAAATGATTATAATACAATACTTACCTTGAAGGAGTGTTGTGAAATCCCAGTCCTACACCTGCTCTCACAGGGGATCAAGAACTTCTTGCTCATAAACAATTTCAAGATTAGTGCAAGATATTAGTGCTAATATGTTTATGAAGGTTTGAAGTCATATGTTTTATATCAGCTTAATCTTTTTTTGATATGCAAGGTAGGTACATGTATTGATTGAGAAGTTTTGTGCTCTAAACCATGATTAAGAATATTTTCATTATCATGTGTATTTTCTCTCTAGCCTCTGTACACTGTGAAAGATGCCCAGGAAATAGAGGAGAATAAAATAGACAATAAGAGATTACAGCAGCACGTGCTGACCTTGAAAGCCCAGCTCAGGGACCAGGCTGCATTGCAAAATCAGTTTCATGACTTGCAGAATGAAGTGGAACTCCTTCAGGCTCAGCTATGTGAAAAGGTATGATAAAGCTGTTTTCTGTGTGCTTAAGTGGGTGGACAAATATGAACATTGACTTCAGATTCTAATTCTTTCTTCTCAAAGGAGAGAACCAAAATAGTCTAGTTTCCTGGGAATGAGTCTGAGGATAATTAAATGGTTTCCAGGCATATAAAAGTACCCCTGACTTCAGAGAAATAAGGAAAAGATGTAAACTGCCTGGGTGGTCAATGTTATGGAAAGATGATAGACTAATAAAAGTTGCCGCCAGACTCTGCTATAATCCCCATAGTGTAATGCAAGCAAAGTTGTGCTGGAATTCTTTACAGAGCCACCTCCTTGTCTTAAATTGTCAGGATTTTTAACATTCCCAACTCTTTTGTTGCACTATATCAGATTAGGAAACACAGTGAGCTAGTGATAGAATTTTGATAGAGTTTTTTCTAACTTTTCTTGATCCACCTGCTAGGGTTACACATTAAGAGTTTCATTAACACATTTTCAGTTAGCCGTGTGGTTTGTATTTTTATTCATTGACATAGTTATTCTGGTGAGAACCCCCACGTACACAAAAGTACACTTACATGAGCAGTTTTTATATTTGTGCATTATATTTCACCTGGCAAACCAGAGCAAGTACAGACATTAACATTTGCAAAGCTACTGCCTTATAGAGTAACAGCAAAGCTACTGCTGTCAGTGTGGCTACAACTAATGAACTCAGGTGGAAACAAATTCCTGCTAGGACTTTTTTCCCTTACATTTTGTTTCCTATTTCTTTGGAAACTATTTTTTGAAAACCAATGATAGTTACAAAGTGCGCCAAATTGGAATTGCCCATCATACTCTGAAGCAATTAGTAAATGGCATTTTCTCAGTAGTATACTTCATACCCTGATACAATGTGTAGAACATGCTTCTCCTCTGTCTTTCCTCTGAAATACAAGAGATTATTTTCTTCTCCCTACTGGGTGCAAGTTTCATCCTACTTCCTCCATAGCAAATCCACCAGTTTTACAGTTTGGAGTTCGTTGGGTTTTTTGGGGGTGGTGGTGTTTGTTTGTTTGTTTGCTGGTTTTGTTTTTGTCTCGTTTGTTGGAGTTTTTTTCCAAGCCTTGTCATGTGCTGTGATTTGCTTTAAAGCAGTCTGTACAGAGGGTTAGTGGCTTCTCTCAGGCATTGATTAGGATGCCTCTTAGCAGAACAGTGGTGGTAATATGAAATTGTTTTGTGGTGTCTGGTGTCTGTAGTGATGGATGGTGCATATCAGATGGTAGATGAATAAAGGGTGAGACGTGCTATCCATATGAATGCACAACTCCTAATTGTTCTATTGCATCACCAAAATGTTTTGCTCCATGCCCCATCAAGAATTGAATGTCACCAGTGCAGGGACCTACTGCCAGCTTTTTCTTTGTTCCCTCAGTGATAGCACAATGTAAAGATGTCTCTCCTGTCCTAACTACTTTGTTTCTTCCCAAGCCCACAATTTATTAGCTGAGGACCATGTGACCTCTTTCAGCGTAACTGAATTCTCGTAAAGGGAATCTTTTTCTGATGCATATAGTGTATTTACTATGGGCTTTAAGAAATACAAACTGTCAAGCAAAATGAATGCAAAGGAATCTGTACTTTATTGCCAAATAATACCATGTTGATTCGTAACAGAAATGGATTTTACCTGGCAGGATATTGTATTTTTTTTCTGCATAATCAGAAAGCAGGTTTCCCATTAATAATAAACACTTTAATCATAAGGTACAGACTAGATCATCTGGGTCACCCTGGCTCACCTCCTAATACAGGATATGCATCGACTGTGTCAGAGCAGAAAGTTGTTGACGTTCACTTTTCAGAGCCTGCGGTGGAATACACATCCAGAAAATCCCTTCCTGTTTCTCTCATTCTACAACATATTGTAGATAAGAAAAGGGAAAACTTTCCCCAAAAGAGTCTTTTGGAAGATTCACAGAGTAAATGGGAACATGAGTGCGTAATGAAGGATACCAAGTCTTTAATGTGATGCTGCTTTGATGAAATAACCTCACTGATATAAGGCTCCGTCTAAAAACATCCAAAAGCCTTTGGTAATACATAAGAACAACGTTAATGCTAGTAGGGCAGTGTTTGCCTGCCAGGGCCTATCCGTGTACAACCAGCTCCTTACACTGCTTCATCTTGTTTGTGATACAGGGTCACACAAATATGCCAAGTGCACGCCTTGTAAGTCAGGTCTAAAACAAATATCAAAAAACTGCTACCGTATTTTCAAGTGAGTCATGAATAAATTAATGCAGAATGTTTTCCAACCTCTCAGGAAAAAGAACTTCAGAAGAGAAAGTCTGAAGCGAAGTTGATGCTAGCTCCTCTGAAGGTACTGTATTTTCCTGAAAGCTGAAGCAGGACCTACCCTTTGCTTACAGGCTTCTGTGCATGTGCCTGCCTTCTGCCGCTGCCCCTGACTTCGCTGTTTGCTACTGGGCTTTAGGATTTAGGCAAGGGCTCGCTGACATTATTGCCATGGGTACTCTTTGGCCTGTCAAAAGTGGGACCTCACACATGGAAAGGGAACGTCTCTATCCATTTTATCCAGTTTAGCACGTATTGCTGTTGCAAGGTGCAGAGGCACCTAATGGCCTAGAAACATAGGAACGCAATCTATAGCTTTGGTTCAAAACATGTGAAATTACATCAGACACAAAATGTAATCTTGCAGTCTCGGTGGGGAGTGAAATCAATGTATGTGTGTTCATGCCACATAGGCTAAGCTGGCTTGCCTTACCCGAAAGTGCCAGGAGAGGAATAGCTTCATTATGAGGATGCATGGTGAATTTCACAGGCGAGGAATTATTAACTCTGCATTTGATGAAGAGGTGAAAAACTTGATGAATGACCTGGTCCTGGCAGAGTACGCAGTCACTTTTACACCAATGTGTGATCAAGAGGTAAGTGTTTGTACTTCCTTGTAGAATCCTTCCATTTCCCCTATTGTATTGTCAGTGATTTATTTATTTTAAAGTGTTTAGTGAGACCCAAAGTGTAGTTATAAAATATATTTCAGCACTTAATATAAATATTGCTTCAGACAAGTCAGTGGAGTTGGCTGTCTTACTGCTGTTTTGGTCAGGGTTTAAATCTTTTTGAGCTTATCACAAAATACGTCAGTGCTCCATGCAAAAAAACACTTCCCTGATATTTTGACAAAGTATCCTAGTGGATAACGGAGCACATATTATTCAATTCCACTTTAAATATGAATTTTGCATTTTCTTCCTGCACAATGCATCGTCTCGGATTTCTGAAGAAATCAGAAACAAAAGGTCTGCAATGAATCATTTCAAGTTTTAAGTCAACTCAGAAGACATTTGTATTCAAAAGGGGGTTAGTTACTTGTGTTTTGCTGGCAAGATGAAAGTGATTCCAGCAGGATACACTCTGCTTCACACCTGATTCTGTTGAACATTATCATTAATAGCTTGGATGCTGGGAATATACTTCGTATTTTGGGAGTGGCACCTACTTGAAGACATTCTTAAGGACAGGAATCTGAATCTGGCAGCCTGGAGAAACAGGAATTCCCTTGCAGTACTTCAGTAACCTTCAAACAAGCTCCTTTTTTCCCTTTGATTTTCTCTCTTATTATTTTAAACAAAACCTGTAAAAAAACCTAAACAATATTTAGTAATGTTTGTGTCCAGTATAGTCAAGTAGAATCTTGCTAGTTAAAAGGGCAGGGTGGGATATTTTGTGTTACACATTTGTAAAACATTGGGAAAGCAGCTGCCTACCACAGCAGGACACAGAACATGGGTTCATACTGGTTTGTACTTCAGCTAACACAATGCACTGCAAAATGGGTACATAAAAATAATTTACTTTTTAATAACACTGACATCTGTTTTTCGTCAGCAGAAGTAAAGATGCTCACAATGGGCATATAGTATACTAAATCCACAGGTTTATTTTTCTGATTATTTTACATTTTTACACACAGAGCGGTATTCTGTATCACTCTGAAGAAGCTTATTCTAGTGTTATTAAGTGTTGCAAGCTGTCACTCAGTCATACTTGTTTCTGTGGCAAAAAGTAATTTAACTGCATGTTAAGGAAAGGGTAGATTGGTTCCTGGTTGCAGGACAGGACAGGATTCCATGTTTGGCTATGTCTCCTTTGAGTATGTCAAGTCTGGGTCCACCACTGTCTCGCTCAAGCTCACACTGAGAATGGATGTTTTATGTGACAGTAGTTAGTAACTCATCTGTCAGAAGGGAGGTAATACTTCACTGCCTTCAGACATTTGCTCAGACATTGTTGTGGTAAATGAGCATTAGTGTAAAGCTTCCCAACACAATAAATACCAAAATACTGTGCACGCTCACACTGTCTCCCTGAATGTCTAATTATCACAAAACTTAGCAGCTCCAACAGGAGAGAATTAGATTGAATCTATATTCTAATGGCCAGTGAGTTCATTTGCAGCATAGGAGCCCCATATTCAACTCCCTGCTTCGATGGATATTTAGCTATTCATACTAAGTGGAGCACAACCCCCTTCCCACAGTATCCAGCACTGTCGTGGCCAGAGGTCTCACTTAGGCTCAGGCACACTGGGATTCAAGCCCAGTTTTTTTGATCGTGCAGAGAATTGACTGGCTCTTGGTGGGCACCTTGACACTGATCTTCGGACCATTCTGGTCTGTGATAAGTACTGTGATAATTCCATGTGTAACAGGGGAAACCTTTCCTGATCTGTATGTTCCCGTGAAAAATTTAGGTTTCTATGGATCAATTTTCCAATGGAAGACAATTCAGTGAGAAAATGTCCAAGTGTCACTACTCCTAATTTAATAAATAATGGTTACAATCAAAAAGAAGAGAGACCATTTCATATTCATGTGATACATTCCTTCGGTTTTAAAAATCCTGTACTGAATTCTGTAGACATATGTTAAACTGAACTGACTTTTCATCTTTGAGGATTCATTTTTTTGCATTTCAACTCTCATTCTCACTGCAATTCACAACTAAGATTCCAGGGCTATGCCCAGCTTTTACTTACATAAAACTCCTTTGAAAGCTCATTCCTTTCCTTCCCCTCAGATTTTCACTTCTAAATCATTCCTAACATTTGAACGCTTCTAGAGAAAGCCTGGTGGATTGATTTTTTTTTTCTTTTTTCTTTTTTTTTCCTTCTTAAATTAAAGATTTGCAATTGGCTTTATTCATTTCTGGACCCAGTGAGAAATGGAAGCCTATCACAGAATGGCAGCAGACCTGCCTGCTTTGGCTTACGGATGTATTTCCACCGAAAGTTTGCAGTGATGCATGAAGGGCCGATCCAGAGCCCTTTGAAGGGAAAAGGGGTTCTGTATTCAGTTCAATGCCTGGCCTTTTGTAGTTTAGGAAAAAACTTTGTGTCTGGTTCTCCAAAGAAAATATGTTTTAAAATTCTTTTAAGAACTCTTTTTTTGTCATGTCTACATGGAATTACATGTAGACTGGATAGATCTGCCCTAGCTGTGTGCTAGGAAGCTCTGGCTTCAGTGGAGGGCTTATAGGCATCAACAAATTGCTCATGCTTAAAGACAAAAGTGAACTTCAGTTCTTTGCTTATTCAGGACACAATGGATGGTTGGTCATTCCCTTCTGTTTGCTGGAAGTATTTTCTTCCTAATGCTATTCCCAATTAAAATACTAAATCACGAAGACAGTGTGATGCTAAACCAATCATCTTTGGAGCTTCTCTTCAGACTTCACTTTCAGCATTCGAGACTCTGCTTTCAGACATGATAAATCACTGTTGTCCCAATGGCTTTATTTTGCTGATTTGCACTAACTCAAGACTTCAAATCAGTTCAGTTTAGCAGAGCAGCACACATTTTAAGTTTTGTCATTCTTGATTATGTTCACAACCCAGTGTTACATTCAAATGTTTTTGAGTGAGAAATAAAATTTGCTTGAATCATGTACTATCTCATGATTTTGTTCCAGCAGTGTACTTTTCACTGAGGCCAGATATACACTAGAGTAATATGTTTAGAAAAGAAAGTAAATTTTCCTTCTCTTAATATTCTTTTCAAGTCCCTGTAAAGAGGACTAGATTTTGAATGACTTTTCCTCACCATAAAACTGTACACCACGAAGCTCTTTATTTGTAATTTAGTTTAATTGAGTGATTTAGTGCAATTTAGTTTAGTTTTACTTTGCTTTACCATAATAAACATATACAATTGCACAGAAGTGGGTTTATTTAAATTCTTTTTCATCCAGAGAATACACCTATGTCACTGGAGTGAAAGTAAAAATTGTGTGCAGGGTAGTGAAGAAAAACTACCTCTCAGTTTTGAAAAGAATAGCCTTTTGGGGAGCCATAAGGATGACAGTGTGTGTCTAATATGGACTTGGAATTTTTGAAGGCACAAAGAATTTAATTTCTAAGCCTTTGTGATATATTTTCCTTTTAAAAGACCTAAACTGAGAAACCATTGGAGTCCCTTGTAGTGGAGCGATAATAAATTTGGGCAACTGAAATAATTAAACCCTTGTCTTATTTTGTGTTTGGAAAATGAAAAGCATGTGTCTGAAGAGGACACAGCCCAGGGACAAGGGCTGCCTCCAGCGGGTGCATGGGGCACTCGGCACAGTGCCATAGCTGGGATTCACATGCCCAATGTCAGACACAGAATATGTGGCCATTTTTGTCCTTTTGTCATGTCCCATTTTAATCATCTTCTTTTAAACGTTGTTTTTTTTTTTTTTAATTGGAAAGGCCTTGGCCTCATCTTCCTTTTCTTGCTGTTGTAGAATTAATTCATGGACTTTATTAACAGTTATTGTTTTTCTGCCTTTCCCAGTGGAAAGGACACAGGGCAGCATTCATCAACTGATGCTAGACATTCATGTTCACTAAACAGCTAACAAAAAGGACTGGGGCTGGGCTTTGCAACAGCTACTCTACTTGGGTTGGTAATAGTGGGAAGCAAGAGAAAATGCTCCAGATAACTAATAGGAAATGTGAAAGAGGAGGCTCCACTTTCTTCTGAATTTAGGTGTCTACTTGCAGTTTAAGAAACAGGCTTTACCCAGTTTGACTAGCTTGCACATGAAGCTATGTCCATCTGCTTTTGGTATGTTAGAGAACCACAGAGAGGAGCAAGTGAGCTTGGCTTGCCTTTCACATAGGCTCATCCCAGCCAGCGCCGCTGTGCAGTGTTTTGGAGCCTTTTCTCTCTCTTTTGGGATGTGCGTGGGGAAACAGGAGTATGTTCAACTCTTTCCCTCAAATGACTGAGCCAACAGCCTCTGTCCAGATGACTGATGGCTGTAATGGATAATGCTGCTGTACTCATTCACTTCAATTTCTCTCACGCTGGAAGGCTTTGACTTGATGATATATCTTATATATTCTTTCCATAGTGGATCTGAAGCCATTGTGGCTATTTGCCCTCATTTCTCAGGGCTGAGTGGGAATTTGTGCAAGGAATATAGGGATAAATGGTAGTGCTTTTTATTGCTTTTCATGGAGTCATCTTAAACCTTATGGATGGAAGGCTTCAGGCAAAGAATGTGTCCAGTGTACTGAATTATTTGTTTTACAGAGTAAGGAATAAATGTGCAGAACAGTATAGCTTAATCCTCCTTTGTATCAGGGGATTTCGTCTGAGATACTTTTCGGTAGAACAATGCTTTTTCTTTTTTTCTGTTTCTACTCATTTCTTTGCAAGAAACCACTTACTGCTTTCCTGTGAATCATATTTGAAGGAAACAGGCCTGAAATAACATTCTCTGATACTCTCCTTAAATTGATTTGTGCATGGCTGGTGAGATCAGAAGCTTTTCTGACACTGAGGGTGAGATACATTTCATGTTTGATGTCTGTAATTCAGACAATCACATCCATGGTAGTTTATCTATTTCTTTTCACAGTTAGTAGAGAGAAAGAGGTACTTACAATGAGGTATCCTGCCCATTTTACATATCTGCTTTAGATAATGTGGGAAGAATCATATAAGTTGGATTTCATTGGTTGTGAAGGGGGCCAGGAGGAGATATGCTTCGGTCAGATGAGTCGCACCCTCAGAGGGGAGAAAGAATTTAACTTTGGGCTTTCGGTCTTTTGGGGACAATGCTGATCAAGACCAAGGGACCTTTCAAGATAAAGTTTTTTTCAGGAAGAAGCTTCTTTTTCTGACATTACAGAAAATGTGACTTGGATCATTGGAATTCCAAGGGGATGATAGAGAGGAGATGGTGGTTCTTATTTAGTAATTTTTTTAAAGAAGGGTAAAATCCATTGCTGAAGGATATGTTATTTTTGACCTTCAGAAAGATTGATAAAAATACTGTGTCATGGTTAAACCCCAGCCAGCAACTAAGCACCATGGAGAAGCTCACTCCCTCCTCCCCCCTCCCAGTGGGATAGGGAGGAAAATCAGAAAAAAAAAAGTAAAACTCATGAGTTGAGATAAGAACAGTTTAATAACTAAAACAAAATAAAGTATAATAAAAGCAATAATAATAATAATAAAATATAATAACATTAATAATAATTGCAATGAAAAGGAATATAACAAAGAGAGAAATTAGACCCCAGAATAGACAAGTGATGCACAATGCAATTGCTCACTGTCTGCTGACCGATGCCTGAGCAGCGATCCGCCCCTCCCAGCCAGCTCCCCCCAGTTTATATACTGAGCATGACGGTCTATGGTATGGAATATGCCTTTGGCTAGCTCAGATCAGCTGTCCTGGCCGTGCTCCCTCCCAGCTTCTTGTGCACCTTCTTGCTGGCAGAGCATGGGAAACTGAAAAATCCTTAACTTAGGATAAGCACTACTTAGCAACAATTAAAACTTCAGCGTGTTATCAACATTATTCTCACACTAAATCCAAAAAACGCTGTACCAGCTACTCGGAGGAAAATTAACTCTATCCCAGCCAAAACCAGCACAACTGAAGGGTATAAAATACAGATTAAAAATAGTTAAGGGCAGCTTGACCTTTCCAGTGAAATAACTGATAAAGCTGTTCAATAATTATGTAAATAGCTGTTTGTGCAGAAGGTATCTCAAGAATTTGTGATGGCTGAGGAGATGGTACATAGTCAAGGTTAGTGTCATTTTAAAGTAAAATTGGGTTTGATTGACAAAGATTTAGATCCTTTTCCTGACTGCGTACATGACACAGACATTTTAGCAGGTTTTTTTGCTCTAATTCATGGGCAACAGCGTGCATTTGTCTAGAACAGAAAATGCGAGTAACAGCCATGATTAAAAAAAGAAAAGCTTTAAAACATAACCTTCCTTTATTTACTGATATATTTTAGAATTTAGATTAAGATAAAATGTGCAATTAAAAATATCCAGATGAATTAAAACATTTTATTCTTATCTCTGACACCACTGTCTTTTTAGTTTTGTAATGTTGGGGGAAAGTGATGGGTTTTATTTTTAATGTCAATCCTTTCTAGAACTTGGCATTATGCAAGTTTACACTTCTTTTAAGTTTGGTGGAATATCACAGTATTTTCATTTCTTCCTAGGTGGAGTAGTTTGTGGAAACTTGAGAGGAAAGCAAAAACCATCAAAGAAAAATAGAATCAACATTGTAAAAAAACCCAACAAAACCCCAAACAAACTTAATGTCTGGGCATTTAGACAAAATGCAGAATTTTTGCTTAGATACATCTGTAGTGCTATAGAAGATATGATCTTTAGTGTTTCACAGAGTCTTATGAAACACTGAAGATGAGCCTTTTTGAGAGAATCATACCAACTTTCAAATACAGCGCAGACCATATGGTGAAAACTTCGTCAGTGTAGTAGCAGCTTCACTCATCAGGGTTTGCTTTAACCCACCTTTCTAATGAGTTTCACTACTTTGTCTGCAGCAGAATTTGGTAATCCCAAGAGGCAAAAGAGTTTGTGCATTGAACAGTTGAAGGAAAGGAAAGGAAGGACCCTGCAAGGAGGTTATTTTTCTAGAAATGAAATGTGCCAGTGTCACAGCTTTGCCTTGGTGCTGTGTTTTTTCCTGGTATGAGCCAGCTCTCCTGCCTACGAGGGTGACAGTGATTTGCCTTTGCATGGGTCATTGCGCTCCAGAACTTGTTCTGCTCCTGCTGACTCTCATCTATCACTAGGGATGCCTCTAACTGTGCTTCCTGTAGTGAGGAAACTCTCATCAAATAATTTTAGATCCAGTCTCTTCATGCCTCAAAACATTTCAGGGCTGCCCTTTGTAACCCCTCCATCGCTTTCAGCCAGCCAGCATTTTTTGTGAGTGCTGGGGAGACATACTGCACTCATAACCTTGGTTAGAAACCAAGGACTTCTGAAGCTGCCTTTGGCTTCTGTGTTTATAGGGGAACATCCAAATGTACGCCTTTCACTTTCCAACTGATCTATGCCTGTGATGCTAGGATATGATGGGGTATTTGTGCCGCCCTACCTAAATAAATGCTGTGTCCAGATAGTGTCACAGACTCCCTCTGTAATCAGAGTAGAGAAAGTTAGTCTTTTAGGGAAGAGCAGCAATCTAAATTATGTGCCCAAAGTTGGTCAATATGACTGGTCCTTCAGTTCCTGGATGTCACCGTCTTGTTCCCTGGCCTGTTGTTCAGCCTAAAGTAAATGACCCAGGTGGTAGCTCCTCCTGGGGAGTGTCTCAGCGGGCCAAACACACTTGTGTTTGGCACTTTAACGGGACCAATGGCCAGAATTCGGCAGCATTGGTTCCCTCCTCTCATGGTGGGGAACCAAGAACAGAAGGTGAAATGGGATCAAAGGCAGGGTTCATTGCTTGTGTTTACCACTCATGTTTTCTTATGGGGTGTATCCTGGGGAAGGGTCTGTCCTGCAGCACAGCGGGTCTAGAGATGGACAGGCACAGCCCGGCCTCCTGCCCTTCGAGTGGAATACCAGTGTGTTGGTGTACTTAAGAATCATAAGGCACATGCTTCAGGGAGCCCATGAGCTTTGAGGGTCACTTTGCAAACAGGAGATGAGAGCAATGAGCTTTTTCACGTCTGGCTAGCTTGTACACATCAACAGCTGGGATTCAGTGTCACTTCAAAAGCTATGGGACAGTACAGCACCCCTGATACCCACGTGCTTTAACCCTGGCATCAGAGCTGCTCCTGAACTGCTTGCAAGCAGCATGTTTCTCAGAAAGCACCACAGTGATCACTCCTGCAAGACGGTGAAACTTCTCTTGGCAATGGCAACAGCTTACACACCGTATATTCTTCTTCATGCCATAATATAATTAAATTTTAATGCATGAGCTTGCCAATAAACACTTATCATTTCGGGGGGACACTCCAGAGCAAACTTACACCACTATGGCATTTCAGAATCCTTTGATTTTGGGGTTTTTTTTAATGGACACAAGTGATGTAGCTAACACTCATTAAAGATGTACAGACCAAACCCAATATATTATTTTAAGTAAAATGTGTTTTATATTAAGTAACCATTCCTGACCTCGCATATTTATAGTATTTGCATTTCTGGAGCTTTTGCAAGAGGGCTAATGGCAATGAGGTGATAACTTGTAATCAGATGTATTAATTCTGGAAATAAATAAATAACTCTTCTTAAAACCCCAAAGGCTGAAACTGTCATTAACAATCTTAAATTTGTTTTTCTCTGCAATTGCAAGAAAAAATGTAACATTGATCCCGTAGCTTTAATAAATTTGTATTTGGATGATACAATGCTACTGCTCTGTGATAGTCATTGATGTTCAGGGAGATCTTTTCCTGCTTGCAACTGTTATGAAAAGGTGCATAATTAAACAACTGCCGTTTCTCTCTAAATTTGGCTTCAGTTCAGTGAAGGTATTCAAGAAAGATAATGTTTGTTGTGGTGTTAAAGTTGATGTGGAGGTGAAATAAGATCAACTGAATTAATATTATTTTGATTCACAATAGGAGGGTCTGCATAAGAGTTCATGCAGTTGAACTAATACACTTTTGAAGTCCATTCAGCTTAACTTTCTTGAGCATTCGTAGGTAGACAAACCTGAATTTGTTGTGTAGTGTGGAGTGAGAGAATATGTGTATGAAAGAATCATGTTGGAAATTTTGAGATTCTTCAAGAAGAGACCTAACATAAGTAATTTTTAAAAATGGTATTTTTTTCTACTTTTTATCCAGGTTTTCTTAATATCCAGATGCAAATTTTGGCTGTAGTTAAAGCTTGAGATTTTTTTTGTTTCAGGAAAGAGTTGATGAATACAGGATTCTTTTTTAGCCAGATGCAGGAATACTTCACATTTAAAATAACTGGTATATTATCTTTTTTTTTTATTTTGGTGAACGTAGTTTATTTATATTTAATTTCTGTGAACATTTATCATAATGAATTCATCCAAGTGAATTCCACTAATCCAAAATAAACAGCACAGGAAAACTTGATCTAGCTTGAATGTCTTAAAATGGTATTTTCTCTTGCAGATGCTGCCTTCTTCCACAGATATTTCACAGGCCAATGGACAGCCAGAGGATCATGAGATATATGTCAAAGTGAATGGGATGACTGGGTCAATACCTGCAAACTCTCAGCAAAAGGTGGATAGCATCCACAGTTCTCGCATCACTCCAAATGTGTTTGCTGGTTCTCCTGTAAAATTAATAAGCCCGGAGAGGATCATAGCCTTGCATCGAGAACTAAGACAAAACCATCGTAAAAATCGCCAGGTCAGTAAAAATTTTCTCGGTTTTAGTTTAGTGATCTATTATTCTTGGCAGTCATTTTATAGATCACATAGATATTTGAATGATTGCTTCCAGAGATGCACAGTTGATTGTTAGTTTAAACAAGCTGAGGATAATAAATGCTTAATGTTCTTCATTATGCATTTTCTTCCCAATGGTTTAGGAATGGCTTTTGAGGCTTGTAAAAATAATTAAAAGATTTTGTTTTCATTATGGTGTACTCTCTGGTAAGACCATCTTTGAAAATTGTTGGATGTTTAAAAAAAAAAGTTGTTATGTTGATCTTGTCCTACCTTTTTTTCCTCCAATTTTTTTTTTTTTTTTTTTTTTTGTGATCCAATTATTCCTGTGCCCTGAAGCTCTTTATAGTAATTTCCATTAACTGCAGGAATCCTGTTAAGAACAGAGCTGATCAATTGCAATTGCATTTGTGACAGTCTGCTGCTAAACTAAACACGCAGGAGATTTCGCCCTCTCTGAGACAACGTAACCTCTCCATAATTGTATGGAAACAAAATTCAAGTGTGCAATTACTGGAGCCAGTTAGCTAAAGTAGTGACAAATATTACTCTACTGAATTTCCTTTATAATCTTGGATTAAAATAAGTGTAATAAAACAATTTAAAGCATAGTTCCTGCTTTTGGCATTAATAGATGAAAAAAATCATGCAAGATACTGAAATCTCCTTTTAGTTAAGAAATTTATTATACAATGAAATGGTGACTCAGAATTCTGACAACATGTTGTTTAGTCCAGGGGATATATGTGACAGTTCAAATGCAGTTTCCCGGTCATTTTCTCTATCACACACTGGGACATCCAAGGTTCTGTTTTCTTCTCTTCTTTCCTCCTCAGATACCTTCAGTTGTCTCCTCCAACTCAAATCCAAAGGCTGACTGCAACCGGCCGATGATCCACGAGGAAGCCCCTTGGCCTCTGCTGTCAAGGATGAAGGATGCAGCGGTGCCTCCGGAGCACAGTGCTTTCTGGGCCACGAAGGGGAGGGATCGGTTGTCGAAATGTGATGATGTATTTTGGGGTCAAATAGGAAATCAGCATGCAGGTGCTATTCCCCAGGGAATGAAACAGAAAAATGCCATTATGAATAAGGCATGGCTCTCTAGAGAAAAAACAGATGGCTCAACCTCAGCTACCACAGCAAAAAGCCATTTGTCAGACGTGTTGTCAGCAAGTAATAAAGGTCGAAATCCTGTGGGGAGAAATCAGCTGCACGGGAAAGAATAAAACCTGCAAAAATAAAACAAGGTAAAGCATCTGAGCAATGTGATTTTCCCATCGTTACAAAAGTACTAATAATTTTTTAAAACAAAGGTATTTTACTAGTTAGCATGGCCTAGCAACTAGTTTGAGTTGACTGGAAAATTTACATGAAAAAGAGCTGTAATACTTTTTGTGATCAAAATTTCTTAGAACATTTGAGGTCACTGAAACCTATGGATTTTTCAGTAGCCGGGCTGCCTCCCCATATTTTTTTTTTCACAATTTGTTTATGATTTGCTTTTCTTTTAACTGAGACTGTGAAACAATCTGTTAAATCACTTTTATGTATAACCCATTTCTTCAGTGTGCAGCGGCAAGTTCTGAATGAATGTCTGCCTTGCATGACTGTTTCCTCTGGAACTTAAGTAAATGTGGTGTCATGGACTTCCTAGAAACCCATTTTACAGAAATTGGGGGTACTTTTGCTGTTAGTGTTTCTTTAGTGTCCTGGGATTATTTTTTTTTTAGCTCTATCATTTTTTTTAATAAGTTGACCTACAGCAGGATACTCAATGTATTCCTGCAGGTGGTATTATCTGTAAAATAGCGTCTTTCAACTGTTACTTTTAAGTAACAAATTGCAGCTTAATTTGAGTAGTTTTACTCGACGACCACTTGGGCATCATCAGTACAGTAAGATCTGCATTCAAGGGATGGATGATTCAGATGTCACCCTGTGCTGCCAAACCCCTACACCTACAACAGGGAGAAGTGGATGCGGTGCCAGGCCACCTGCGCTAGCACAGCTGTGACAGTGCTTCCTCGTAGTCTGGCTCAGAAATAGTTGTGGTCTGGGCTGCATGAACCATTGATGGATCCTGGTTATGGGAGGGAGAAGGGAAAAGTGTGTCTGTGCAGGTGCACGTGTGCACTAATGCCGATTGACTCTGGACAGTTTAACTGAGCGTGGTTGTGAATTCCCCAAAACGCTGATTTGTATGGGCATCCCACCAGAGTTAATACTTTTGGAAAACCTCCATTATTCACATCTCCCAGCTATCTTTATTTGTAATCACTTTTATTAGAAAAAGGGCATTTTTAACACACAGTAATACGTGGCACTGTTCCTGTGCTTTTCCTCTGCCTCCACTGATTACCCCAGTTGGTTCACAGTATGTACTACTTTGTTTGACTGGTTTTGAAGAAATATTAATGCACACACTCACACTTTATTGTGGGAAAAAAAATCTTCATTTGCTCGGTAAGACAGCAGTGCAATTGCTTACAGCAGTAACTGAATTGGTCTTTGTCCAACATATCTTTAGAAAATACACACCAGATGCCAAGGGAAATAGCCTCTGGAAGAGATGTCTTGGAGCGCTGTCTAAGCAGAGGAGGCACCAGTGAGGTTCCAAAATCTGGGCTTCTGCTTTGATGTGTCTTTCTCTTCTTCCTAATGCCTGGCTACCACTTCTGAAGACAGATCTACCTGATATCCAGCCACCAGCTGCCTTGTCAAATGTTAAGATATTTTGATGTGCAAAACAACATGTAAATATTTAACATGGTAACATTTATATTGCTAAAATTATGCTTTAAGTATTAACACTTGTGAGAACTTTTTTGGAGCTTTATCTTGCTGACAGTAAAATACAGGGCCTGGTAGTTCAGGCTGGAGATCAGATTGTAATGCATGAAGTGTGCTAATAATAAGGGTATTAATAATAATACCCTGTGATAGTAAGATAATAAGTCTTTGTTATCCTAGCGTATCTATCTACTTTGTGATTGGGACCATAGTAACTTACCAAGAAATTAAGCCTTCCTCAGTCCAGTCCCTTTCTATCAAAGACCGGTGTGGTTTATTTTAAACTATCAAGCTTCATTTTAAGCTAATTAGGTTATTTGGCCCCATTCTTCCTCTTGCTGGAATTAATAATTTTCTGAATAAGGGTTGCAGACACACACAAGGTGTAGATGGGGGAGCAGACACTTGCAAGCATAGTACCTGCATTGAAGTACTGTAATGCAAAATGGACTCAAGCAATTCCTCAGGCAAATGGATTCTGTGCTGGCACTTTGTACCCTTGCTTCACAAGTCACAGATTTCAGTTAATATCTTGTAGCCCCTTGTGTTTTTAATTTTTTTAAGACATCCGTTTTTCCTGCTACAAAGCCTTGTTTAAATATGTGCAGATATCATAGTTATTATTTGGCCAGCTGTTTCAGCTGCTTTTCATTTCTCTTAAGTAAAAATGCAAGATTTTAGACACTACAGTGGAGGAATACTAACAAATTAACAGCAATCCATTTGGAGTGTTGCGTGCAACAGCCTTAGAAAAGGTGGGCCAGCTAAAGGTTTTCTTTTTTGAACCTCTGTCCCACTCCATTTTTTTCCACTACTGAATAGGCAAATGAGAAGTGATAGTCAGATTATGCCAAATAATTATGCACTAATTGATGTACAAGGAGATTAGATGATGCATTGCACCATCAGACAAGGTCCCTCAAATTCCTTAAACACAGTCATTTATAGAAACCAGCTCCAAGATGTACAGTGGCAGGCCAGATGGTTTGTATATTGGTGTCCTGCCAAGCTGAGGTCCTTTGGGAGTCTGATCTTGCTCAGTGACTCATTCAGAATAATTAATATTGCCCCTTATTCTGTAAATGATTTGGTATTTTTTGAAATTGAGAGTGATCAGTAGCAATGTGCTTACAGAAAACATCTGAACAGTTGACTTGTGTTGAATCACCTGTGGTCTGCTTCTTATCATCCATGGACCCTCCCGAGTCAAATGACATCGTCTGTACTTGACTGGATGATCAGGACACTGGGAGGGACGCTGGACGACAATGTGCTTCCTACCAGCAGACACTCACTGAGCCTGCTTCCCATTCAGACTCTTCCACTTACAAATACCTTGTTTGAAACAGCACAGAAAACGATTTGCTAGGATCAATAGTTCACATCAAATGGGTGTTTACTAACATATTCAGGTAATATTTGCCCAATTCTTTTTTTTTCTAGACTTGAACTCCCCAGTACTAAAGTCAAAATATCTCATTTTAGCAGCAGTCATCTCTTTTCTCTCTAGTTTTAACAGAAGTATTACTTAGAAATAGAATATAAATGCAATACGTGGAAGTAGTAACCTGAAACGGTGCATACTGCTTTTTAAAGGCCATGTGAAAGATAAACTTAAAAAGGAAACTTATGGTGTACCTGAGGCTACAAATGCACTGTAGCCCCTTTGGGGGACAAATTGGAATCTGAAAATCAAAAACCACTGGAAGGAATAGCCATTCTTCTATGCCAGGTGTAAATAGAAAAGAAAAAAAAATCCATCACTTTCTTCCAACACTGAACAAGCAGGTTTATGTAGTCAAAGAAAACTAATAATTCTCCTGCACTGGTGCTTTACCTGTTCTGCTCTTCTCGGGTAGGAGAGGTCATAAACATAAAATGTAATGCCAGTTTTTATGTTCAGATGAAAAGAAACAGAACACCTGCAATGACAGATCATGCATATTTTAAGAAAGTTCTCTTTAGTCAATGCAATTCTTGTATTAGACTACTCCTTCTATTCCTCTTATTTTTCAGGAAAATAGCATTCATAATATTTAAAAAAATAATAAGTTGCCCTGTATTTTGTCTACACTTACCTGTGCATGCAGTCTCACTTAACTACCAATAATTCATTATGCCAGTTCAAAAGATAAGGTCAGCTGCCAGTTACATTTAACAATGTCTAAACCAGATATGGTTTAGACAGAATCAGTGGAAGGAACATGGCCTGCATCCCTCTTTGAGAACTGGTCTGCTAGAGAAGGCCTGGAAGGCACTGGAAACTATGGATGACAAAAAAAGTCTTTAAAGTAAATGATGCCAGTCTCCACTCTAGGTTCTCCCGGAGATTAAACATTTGTAGGAAATGCAGAGGGATTACTTTGGAAGCCTGCCACTCCCCATCTATTGCTTATCTTGTGCTATGACGAGCTTTTGTGCCGGTAGGAGATTTGGGGATCAGATCTGATGCTCAGCCCGTGGTAACTCAGTTCCATGCTCAGGACTGATTATTTGTATGAGTCAGAACAAAACCAAGTTGCCCATGATTAAATTTTCTGTAGTCCTTAATAAGTCCTGATTACATTTTTTGGGTAGCAATTCTGATTTGCAAAAGCACTAACTTAGTAAGTGGGATCAGGCCAATGGTGGACATTTGCCCTATAGCAGTTTAGCTCCCCATTGTCTCTTTTGCTGCTGAAAAAGGGGAAGAAAAAAGATCAGTGGTTGTGTAACATATTCTCAGTACATTTTTGTCTTGGTTTTATATGCATAAACTATTGAACTTTTACTGGGTAGGAGTTAGGCACCACTGGGAAAAATATCAAGCTCCCACAGTGGAAGCGAGACTGACTTGCACCCTTGTTAAAGATCTCTTGAACTGTAGCCACTGTCATATTTGATGCAATATAACATATCTGCCTTTGGAAAGCTTAATGTAGTGTGGCAAGTTCTTGAGAAAAAAAGTTATGACTTGTGAAGTAAGCAGCTCTTAAAAAGGAGAGAAAAAAATAAAAAGGAAGAAAAGAGCTAGAGGATCTTGTTACAGATGATGGGTCAGGTTCATCAGGGTGCCACAGCAGCTCGGTTTCAGTCTGGTGATCCCGAGCAGCTGTAAGCCTGGTTTCTCAGGCACTGAAACTGTGTTTATGTTCAAGCCATTAGCGAATCAGGTCAAATATCTAAGGGTGGAGAGTTCTTTTTTTGGTGGGTTACTGGGAACATTTTATCAACAATTACTCAGAAATTAAGATGTTATCTGTTCTGCCTAGTCACTGCATTTTTGGTCACGGTGTGAGAACGTGAAGCAGAGTAAAGGGGAATTTCAGTAAAGGATTCCTTGAGTTCGCTTGAGTTGGACTTGTATTAATTGTATTTGGACAAGAGTGAGAAGCTTTGCAGTGCCGTGGCCTCAGCATATGGCTGTCTGGCAAAGCCTTCTTTAAGTGGGAAGCTCCTGGAGCACATTGTCGATTTTTGTAACGCGGCTCTGAGGCCAAAAGTCACGAGCGATTCTTTCTCACCCTTAGTGAAAGCCGCAGCTAGGAAAGGAGGACATGGCCGGCTCTTACTGCCCTCCCTTGCCCCCACCATCTGCTGGGTGCTGCCTCTCTGCTTTCCCATCTGTGGGCTGGGGACTGTCTCTCAGCAGCCACATCTTTGTTTCCAGCTGGCTGCAG